TACATATTTGTTTATTAGCCTGTATCGCTAAAGCAGTTTACAAATGTAAATGCAAAAGACAAACATCCAAACCCAGAACATTTATTTGCAGGCCACGCAAATATTTATTTCGTGCGGTATTCGCTCGCACGACTCTTGTATTTCGTTTGTTACTTCAATTTTATGAAGAAAAAAGACCATACAGCAATATTAAAAATGGAAGAAAGACTTGTAATTTAACAGTAGTGTTAGGTCTTGTTATACCACACACCCTTTACTTGATCTGATGTTGTTGAATTTAAACACAATCTTGAGAAAAAACAACGATTTATTGAGATTTCACAATATATGAAACTTGGTAAAAATATAAGTTTGGGTCACGCGACCGTATTGGTAGACAAACTCCAAAGTACTAAAAATGTAGATTATTAATAAATAAGGCAGCCGCGCATAGTGTCTAATTAGCTATATAATTACTGAAATTCCGACGCGTGAGAATGCACGGTGTTGCACCGTATAAGTAGGTAGAGTAAAATAAAACGAAAATTTATATATTATTAAATCAATATATTATACAGTGATATATCTTAACACTAAATATAAAAATATTAAATATTTGTAGCTCATACTGAATCGTGTTGCCCAGTCTCAATTTTACAACTCGTTGATTATGTGTGCTCAAGATGTTAGAAGGGGATATTACTTATCAACAAAATATTCTATAATTCTAAGCGGAACCGAACTTGTAAAATCTAGAACACAACATAATCGATGTCACTTCCATTCAGCTATCTCTAAATAGGACGTCCCAAGTGAGCAACATAAGAACTGATTAATGTATCTCAATCTTCACGATTTTTAATTTAAAATATGTACTGCTATCTTAAAAACCATTGAATTTCGTTAATATAATATCACACTAAGAATCTTATGATAAAATAATATCTCATGTGCATGCCTCTGTGCTTCCAACGCTGCTCAAACTTAATAAAACTCCTAAAAATTAATGATTTTTACATTAAATTCTTTACATATTTTTATTTGGTGTATATGGAAATGTAAACTAGATTTAAGAGTGTTTGTAACAATAATTATAAAATCTTACAAGTTAATTTCGTTTCATTACCAAATCTTACAAGTTAATTGTATTTGTAATTGTTAATGTAACATTAATTCAGAGGATTTATATCATACAATACAATACAATGTCCTAAATTTGTAATCGGTTTGGCTTTTCATTTCATAATGTGATTAAATCTGAATATCTATCACATAGAGGAAGATATTCTTATGAATACATCTAGTTTGTTTTTTAGAAAATAAAATTTTAAAAGAACAATAAAGTAACTTTTTTCCTTGAGTGATTATATATATTAAGCATGCAACATTTTATAATATAAAATACTAATATGTCATATGCGTGGCAAGAATTAAAAATAATAATTGACGCAACTATTATACAACGTTAAGTAGATTCAATACATAAAGCTTCGATGCAATTAAATTATAATACATTTGACTCATAACTTAATTGACTACGAAACACGGGGCCACATATTTTATGACCTTCTTTAAATTTAAAAAAAAATCGTAGTGAAGCTGGACATAACTGTAACAATCATTTTTATATGTAACTAATAAAAAATTATGCCTTACACCTAAACAGCCAACACTTCCAAAATACACTGCAACTTTTTCACATAATTATGACACAATAATATTTTCACTGCATTCTCAGTTTTAATACAAAAGTGCAATTTTTTTTTAATTATCAAGCATCATAGTACAAACTTATTGAACTAATTAAAATAGTTAATTACATGATGTGCTTTACTTTTTAATATCAAAGAGATCATACTTACTCCCATACAAAAAATGCGCAGTAAGACAAGAGAGAATTTAATACGAGTACCTTTGGTTGGTAATACTAAATGTGTAATATCAATGGGAATATCTTTATTACAAGTGTTCCAATAAGTTTACTAAAGACTGAATTGAATTCACAAAATAATGTATAAATTTAAATTTTAAACTCTCATTTAATTTGAAAAAAAAATTGAAAAAAAAAATTAAAAATAACAATTGTAATATTCAATATTTAAGTTTTGATTTTTCCATATTTTTTATTTTTACCCCAGACTATTTTTGCCTGTCTGTGTGGGGGTTTTTTTTAAATTTAAACGCAGGTTTCTTATCGGTGGTTTATCAAAATTAGGCAAGTTTTATCAAAATCGGTTCAGCAGTTTGAAGATCATCGGGGTTTGCTAAAATTTCAATTTAAGTTATAACAAATTTAAGTATTATTTCAATCATGTTACGTTTTGATCCAAGTTTTGTAACACTTTAAAGCACAAAAAGGTAGAACATGTTAACTAAGCAAATTTACATTTATTTATTCAAAAATGTCGAATCAAAAAGCATTTAATTTTTTACATTAAAATATCTAATTTAGCAGCTTTCGCTTCATATAGATAGATAATAATACGCTATTATTTACTAAAGTAAAATATATACAATTTAAAAAAGTAATACAGTATACTTTTACTATTACAAAACTATACATGTTTGATATGAATATTCATCGATTAAATAACCGGTAGGTACAATGGTAAAATTAATTATTTTTTTAAAGGAATACAAAACAAATAGGTAAATTATTACTTACTCTAACAAGTATAGTAATTTATCTATAGCTATAGCTGTAGTGAATACTTAAGAGGCTTAGAAATGTGTTCCACAATCCATATTGGATCACCGTAACAGATTATATTTGTTTAGTTTTTACAAATAAACAAATATAATATAATAATACTATATTTGTTTATAATATTTTTTCATCGGCAGCAAAAACAATTTGAATAATGTGCCCATGCATTTTTTTATCGTTTTGGGTACCGCAAATTCTGTAAGGAATGTATATTATCCGAGTATTATAATATGCACCGGTGCACTAAATTACTCGACAGTTAACACAAAATTTTCCTAAATTTATTGAATAAGGAGATGTGTCGTAATATACGGTCAGTCTATGGGCGGCGGCTGAGCTGGAATACTCGAGGGTGGCGCCGTTAGGTAGCCCGCTGAATGGGGAGCTGTGGACAAAGTTATCGGAAAATGCAAAATTTTCTACAATTAATATATAGCATAATAATAATATATAAAAACACAGCAAAACATCTTATCGACTTATCGTCCGATATATCTCAAAACTTGACTGAAACAAAAGAATACAAGCAGAGCCTGTTGTCAATATACTAGCGGAACCAAGACTTCGTCCTTTACTGTTGGTTCAATGAGAAACTCTAGAGCGGTGTTATTTCAATCAGTCTTGTCGGTGCCGCTATCCATATCCGTACAGGCTAATTACGACATTGGGACGTCAAACATCTCGGTCCCCCCCCCGTGACCACGGGTGCTGTAAAACACCCGAAACTTCGGGAATAAAAATAAGTTAAAGTAGTTAATTAAACGCGATAACATCCGCAAACATAGTTTTATTCAATGTAGTAGTGTTCGCGTAAATTTAAAAAATCATTAAGTTCAAATAGACATATATATACAATATGTAACGTAATTAACGCACACCCCCAATTAGTATATTATGTTATAATCATAATACATATATTGAATTTTAGTTAAACATTTTTATGCACTGATTATTTATCAAGTTATACTAATTCCGGAAGAATGTTGTGGTTACAGTACAAATCCACGAACGCAAAGACTTTAACGTGCTTGAAATAAAGTTCATTTTTCTTTATTTTTATTGAATGACAGAATTAATAATAATACAAATAAAACTGCACTCTTAAAAGTCTTATTGCCTTAAGTTACGGTCCATTTCAGTTTGTTTTGACTGTACAGATTTAGTGTGACTGTAATTTACGTATGTAGTTTTAATTATTTTAGGGATAAAAAATTACCTATATTAAAATGATAGGAATCGATTCAGTAAACGATTCTGAACAAACTACTTTCTCAAAGTGTGTTAATTATGTTACATGTTGTATATAATGTTATTATTGCAGTTTTTGAAAATACGAGTAAATAAAACTTCCACTTTTATTTGAAATTATCCCAAATTGAATGTGAATTAGGCAACAACGTTTTTGCCTACCTTACCAATGTGTGCGTGCGCAGTAAAATCTGTTAAAATAATGCACTACCACGAATATTGAAGTTAAAAAACAAAAAGGACAGAATGTTTGAGATTTTTAATTTCCCGCTACGAAAATCCATGATTTTCAAAAAATCTTGGAAGTTATTAGTAGTACCCCAGTTTTTAAACATGGAAAACGACGTCGATTGCTGCGAACTGCTTCAAAATCGATTAATGTGGTAATGACGAAAAATTTCGAAAATTTTTTTTTCTTTTTCTTTCTACTTTTTTACTTTTGAATTTATAGTCTAATGGTTTATTTATATTAGATTTTATTATTGTTCTTAAAATATCTCGTCGGATGCCCTTTACATCCAAATCTCTCATCATCATCGTCATCATCTGCCAATTACATCAAAATCGGTTGATCCATTCGAAAGTTAACGTTGTAAAAAAAATTCAAAAAAGTTGTTTTTCTTTAAACACTTCGTAATTTTTACTCAGATCATTTTTGATACAATGAGTTGACTATTAGTTCGTAAAAATAATTATCGAGCCTTAAGATCGAACATAGCGGAAGTTGCAGGGATACTTGCAGGGTAAATCGTTTTTCTGGTTTATTTAACTTAATTTTTTCTCACTATTTACCTATATTATTTAATCTGAACGTTCTCTGCAAATTTGTTGCCGGTTGTTGCAAAATAACTGTTATTGTTGAAGCAAGAGGTATCTCTTGCTTCAACAAATTATAAATGAAATTCTTTCTTTCTGCATAGCGCAATTGAGTTAAATAAGCTTTCATTTTTTAGATATTGACCTATTTTCTCCTAATAAATAAAGAAATAATAACTTACAAAGCGTAACATTGATTTAACAGTTCTAATGTAATAATTTACGCATAGTAGTAAGTAAACACTGCAACATGCAAACGAAAATCAGGAACAGGTTGTTAGCGCTGTGCAGCTTACAGCTGCCACACGCACCGTCAGTGCACGTGCCCCACCTGCCAGTGCGCCGTGCTGCGGCGCGGAGGGGAGGAACAGGTCATGGCGCTGCATGGTGTACTGTTGCCACACGCTCTGTCAGTGCACGTGGCCCACCTGCCAGTGCGCCTTGCTGCGGCGCGGAGAAGAGGAACAGGTCGTGGCGCTGCATGGTATACTGTTACCACACGCTCTGTCCAGTGCACGTGCCCCACCTGCCAGTGCGCCGTGCTGCGGCGCGGAGGACAGGAACAGGTCATGGCGCTGCATGCTGCATACTGCTGCCACACGCTCTGTCAGTGCACGTGCCCCACCTGCCAGTGCGCCGTGCTGCGGCGCGGAGGACGGAACAGGTCGTGGCGCTGCGCTGGTAACTGTTGCCACACGCTCTGTCAGTGTACGTGCCCCACCTGCCAGTGCGCCGTGCTGCGGCGCGGAGGACAGGAACAGGTCATGGCGCTCCGGTGCGTACTGCTGCCACACGCTCTGTCAGTGCATGTACCCCACCTGCCAGTGCGCCGTGCTGCGGCGCGGAGGACAGGAACAGGTCATGGCGCTGCGCTGCGTACTGCTACCACACGCTCTGTCCAGTGCACGTGCCCCACCTGCCAGTGCGCCGTGCTGCGGCGCGGAGGACAGGAACAGGTCATGGCGCTGCGCTGCGTACTGCTGCCACACGCTCTGTCCAGTGCACGTGCCCCACCTGCCAGTGCGCCGTGCTGCGGCGCGGAGGACAGGAACAGTTCGTGGCGCTGCACTGCGTACTGATGCCACACGCTCTGTCCAGTGCACGTGCCCCACCTGCCAGTGCGCCGTGCTGCGGCGCGGAGGACAGGAACAGGTCGTGGCGCTGCGCGGCGTACTGCTGCCATACGCTCTGCCAGTGCACTGTGCTGCGGCGCGGAAGACAGAAACAGGTCGTGGTGCTACTCGGCGTACTGTTGCCACACGCTCTGTCAAAGCAAGTGCCCCACCTGCCAGTGCGCCATGCTGCGGCGCGGAGGACAGGAACAGGTCGTGGCGTTGCGCGGCGTACTGCTGCCATACGCGGCTGCGGCCCAGCAGCGCGCGCACGCGCTCGCCGTGCGCGGCTGACCGCGACATTCCCTTCAACGCGTTCACCAGCTGCGCCGTCACCTGCCCTTCCAGCCGGGTCTCCAGCAACACAAGCAACTCTCCGATCAGATCGCTTTCTAAAGCCTGAAACGTCATTTTAAGCCGTTATTGTGAAGAAATATCGACGTTTATAAAATACGTTAAAAAATACTATACAATATGTTAATTTTACACTTGATCAAACGAAATGTGCGGATATTAGATAAAAAATTATCGGTTAAAAAAATCGAAAAAGTTTTTTTTTAAAATATTTAAAAAAATAAAAGCATTTCAATTTTTTTTTTTTTTTTGATAAAATTCCCATCCTTCGGTTTTAAATTATTTTCTTTTTAAGTAAACGGTTTTTTTCTCAAAGTAGTGTTATTTGAAAATTAGAAAGATTAACTAGCAATAAAAATTGAAAAAACCTACGATATCAAGCAGGATATTTGTCAAAAAATAATAGGATAATTATTTCTGTTAAAAAATACTTTTCTTTTCAATTTTTGGTCAAAACTAGCACATTGATGTAACTTTTTCAGCATGTTTTATTATACTGCATGATTTACTCTACAAGTTCTCCAAAATAACATGGGTTCTATCTCTTTTCGTTTTTAAAATAATAATCATCAAAGAATACCATCGATATGTTGATTTGCGATTTATGCGCCGCACCTACCTCTAATTTGAACATCCCTGGTCGAACAATAGCAGGTAAAGATAAAAAGAGATAGATCAAGGTAAGGCTTTTCTTTTTTAAAATAATAATCATCAAAGAATACCATCGATATGTTGATTTGCGATTTATGCGCCGCACCTACCTCTAATTTGAACACCCCTGGTCGAACAATAGCAGGTAAAGATAAAAAGAGATAGATCAAGGTAAGGCGAAACAAGTGAGTGAGAGAGTGAATTTTCGTTTGAATGAGATTTGTGTCTCGTTCTCGTAAGGCATGCAGGCAGCTTTAGCTATTTTAAACAGTTCATCTTGTAACGTTACCTAATTTGCACTTTGAATACGCTCATAATTTTTTTTCGTCGTTATGCCTTCTACGATAGACTCATTGTCTGCTCGTGAAGTAGCTCACATTCATTACATTTACGGGTTTTGTGATGGCAACGCTCGCGCCGCCTCTCGAGAGTATCATCAGCGATTCCCGACAAGACCTGCCGTTGACTACAGGGTTTTCTTAGCAGTACATCGATTTTTCGATTTTTTACCGAAAATTTCTAGTATCCGCACATTTCGTTTCATCAAGTGTAAAATTAACACATTGTATACGAACCGAAAGGGGCACATGGGTACCGCAATATACATAATATTATTTAAAAATATAAAAATGTTATTGTTAAGAACCTGGCAAGAACGACGTCGTTATCGGTCACTGACGGTCACTGATATATGGACTAGCTATACACCGTGACAGAATGAGGCGATTTGATTTGCGCCACTTTGGTGCTGAAAGGAGAAATAAACGTCCACGGAACTAATAATAGAGATAAGACAGTGTGACAAAACATATTGAAAAAAAAAAAAAAAGTTACTTTGGATGCCTCCAGGATTCGCACGGCTGAGCCACCTGCATCCATCAACTTCCTGCATGTTCTACCAAGTTGTCTACCAAGTTGCCACTCCACCTAAGGGGGGGAAGTCCTACAATTCGCCTGCCGGTAGGAGGCAGTCACTCGAGAACCTTTCTTCCCCATCGGTCATCAGTTCTTTCAGAGCTATATGGCCGGCCCATTGCTACTTCAGCTTACTAATCAGTTACTCTGGTACTATAGCGGATATCCTCATTCCTGAGTTTGTAACGCGGATACAACCCAAGCATAGCCCTCTCCATAGCTCGCTGAGCAACTATACACTTCCTCATACGGCCAGCAGTGAAGGACCACGTCTAAGAACAGTCAGGTGGCGCGTCACCAATCGCTATACCAACACTCCTCTTCCCTTGCGACTTCACCTCGACTACAGCGGTACAGGGAGAGGAATCTCCTCTAGTCGTAGCCCACAAACACACATACAAGGACTCGACAAGCACAATCATAGTGATCACCTCGGCAGTGGCGAAGCCTTCATAGAAGCCAAAAAGCTGGGCTTGCCCTATCAAACAGCTCAATCAATAATATCAACTAATAAAATAACTCGTAAACTGTTTCAAACTATTTCTAATTTTCCGCGCGCTCCTTTATTCTACACAGGTCATGACCTCGTAGCCTTAGCGATAGTATTGTTTTATAAAAGGAGTTGAATTGAGCGATTATTCATCTCTCTCTCGCACGCGTGGGTTTTTAGCGGGCGTTGGAGAAGACGATCGCTCCCTTTCTAACCTGTGGCAAAATGTTCTATAATGAAATATAACTACGATTGTATATATAGCAATTAGTATAGAACGAAAAGGTCAAGCTTTTAGTATGAAGTTAGTTATTAAACGGGAGGGCGCGCGGGCAATACTTTTACAAGTTCACTTCACATTTCAATGTTTACATTAATATTGCGAGTTGAAAATTTATGCTATTTTAAAGATTTTTAGTGAAAATATAAGATAATAGTGTTCCTTGTGATAAATTGAAGTGCTAATCGGTGAGGAAAGTGTAAATTTTTTAATAAGTTGTACTGTTGGTGCTGCATATTCTTTTCCAACGACAAAACAGCTTGGAATACTACTGGATGTGATGATATAAATAACTTATCTGGAGCCATTAAAAGACATATGAACTCTCAAAAACACATGAATCCGGTAATTTCGTTTAGTAATTTTGGAAAAAATTGGATAGAAATCTTTGTCGCGCCAGTTATCCGGGGAAATCGATTTAGAATATAAATAATTAGTTTTTTTTTCTAATTTTGTATATTGTTTGCACTTTGTTCATGCTTTTATTTTGATTTTGATTTTGATTAAAGGGTCATGAAAGAAACTGATGAAAAAATTTGGGATGTGCAAGAGGGATTTAGAAAGGGAATGGGATGTACAGATCAAATCTTTTCCATGCGCATGATCGCGGAAAAGTTTTTGGCCAAAAACCAAAAGGTTTTTTGTGCGTTCATGGACTTGGAAAAGGCCTATGACAGAGTGGATAGGGATGTGCTATGGCAAACACTGAATTCATTTGGGTTGAACGCTGGCTTGATACAGGCATTGGAGTCGCTTTATTGGGACTCTAGTGCTTGTGTTAGGATCAACGGGGTCTACTCTGACTGGTTTAGCATCCATAAAGGTGTCAGACAGGGCTGTGTGGCTTTCCCGTGGCTGTTCAACCTATTTATGGACAATTGTTTGCAAAATTTGAAAGTTGAAGAATGCGGATTAAGAATGGGTGAGTTAACCGTCAAATAAATGTCTTTTGTACGCCGATGATCAAGTTATTCTTGCGTCGTCGGCGGCCGAGCTGCAAATTATGGTTACATTAATGAACAGATCATTAAAAGAAAGGGGTATGAAAGTGAACGCAAGTAAGACGAAAGTTATGGTTTTTGAAAGAGAAGAAAGTAAGACGTTATGTGAAATAAGAATAGAAGGGGAGTTGATCGAGCAAGTAGATGAGTTTGTATATCTGGGTTGCGTATTTACGACGAACGACGAGTGAATGCAGGAAATAGAATAAATGGGGCCCTACACTCTATTGTGAAGAGTCAAAATGTGTCGAAAAAGGCACGTATGGCAATTTACAATGCTGTGTTGGTCCCTACTTTAACGTATGGTAGTGAAAGTTGGGTGTGGCAGAAGAAGCACGAGAGTAGAATAAACGCAGTAGAAATGCGGTCGTTAAGGAGTATGTTAGGGCTGAATCTGAATGACATGGTAAGAAATTGTGTAATAAGAGAAGAGTGTGGTTTGCAAGATGATGTTGTGACCAGGATAAGGAATGCTTCGGTGGTTTGGTCATGTGGAAAGAATGAATGAGGAAAGAGTGACAAAGAAAATTTATGTTGCAGAAGTGAATGGCAGAGTCGAAAAGGGACGTCCTAGGCGAAAATTTATCGACCAAATTGGCGATTTATTGAAAACGGGCCAAATTAGGAGTACCCTTAACCGACGAGCATGTATGCGTAGGTGTATGAATGTGAAGGAGGCGAGAGAGGTGTGTCAGGATCGTGCCAAATGGAAGTCTGTAGTCTCTGCCTACCACTCCGGGTGACAGGCGTGAGTGTTTATGTTTATGTTATGTTTATTTTGTTAATGTATTGTATTGTATGCAAATATCTTTTTGTTTCGCTCAAGCAAACCCAAACGGCTTTTTTCAAGGCCACCGAAGGTATGCAATTGCTGATATGTCTTACAATCTATCTATAGTACGTGCCAAATCGATTGAGAAAAACGGACAATGACCGTTCGGTCGTTTAACCAGAGTTCCCTAGAGAAATAAAAAAAAACATTCGAAATAATAATCTAATACTTTTATACTTACTGGTACTGGTACTACCAGAAAATATTATGGATATACTGCACCTTTTCAAAGTGGTGCATTTCTCATGTGTAATAAAATAGTCATGTGTGAAATGTTTAGAACAAAGATGAAAATTTTTTTTTCGGACGCCAAATCATAATATTTATGCTTATAAGCCATAATTATAGGCTAGATTCAGTTGGAAACATGTTTGACTATGACTTTTGTATTATTTTTATACTTAAAAATATTTAAATATTTTATTGGATGAGTTTCAAGAAGTAGATAAAAAGAAGTCGCAAAGGCACAACAATAATAACAGTTTTATTGAGTTTTCAATTCAACAAATACTTCCTTATTACCAATAGCTGTTATTATTGTTGTGCCTTTGCGACTTCTTTTTATCTACTTCTTGAAACTCATCTAATAAAATATTTGAATATTTCTAAGTATAAAAATAATATAAAGTCATATTATATGTAATATCATGAATGTACATAATATGTTACATTTCAATTGTAATAGCTGTACAGGATCACGTGATTCGCAGCCAATGCGAGCGCGAAGAATGATTTAAGGCATATCGGCGATCGTCGCTCCCTGTCGCACTTATTACGACCAGTACCCAGAACGCACATTTTGTCTCCTGTCCACTAAAGAATTATTTAAATATTTTAAAATTATTAACTTCGAAGAAACTGTCCTCTGAGAATTTTTTATTATAATATATAATAAACACGCTGTAAAAATGGCGGATTAAATCAAACACTTTTTTTAAATTTTTGATAATACGACTTAGTACTACTACTAAGTCGTATTTTCTAATACTATACTTAGGATAGTTTGCCCATATGTCAACCTCTTAAGTACTATTACTAAGTCGTATTTTCTACTACTATACTTAGGATAGTTTGCCCATATGTCAACCTCTTAAAAATGTAATTTTTTTTTCATTCTTTCTTTATAAACTTAGCTGAAGGATCGTCAGTATTATTATTTGAATCAAACACTTCTTTGTGCGAATTTTTTTGCGACTTACCTGTACGCGCAGTACCAGATGTACCCAGGCAGGCCAGGCAAACAGCCACCTGCTTATTGCGTGGACTGATATCTTTCAACAAAGTTTGCATCATGATGCATCAAACACTCCATGAAAAATGCATCATGAGCTCCGCACCAAAAGTACCCTCACAGTTGGGACAGGGTTTATTTACTTATTGTATTAAGGTACAAACAAATAAATTTCAATCATAGTGTACTCGTACCTTCCATATTCCACGAAATAAAAAAATGAATGAATTAAAAATACTAAATATTGTTTTCTTCCTACCTGTAAAACTAATTTATCAGTGTTTGCATTGCTGTTATCGAAAATAGTAGCGAGCGCCTCGCAAGCACTGCTTGTAACTTCTTGGCATGTTTTCACCGCAGTCTTCAACCCAGACATAACTTCCGTTTGTGTTAAGGCCGCAACGCAAGCCTAAAACAATACATGTATATTTTTTAATGTTATTATTACAATACCCTAAGCATTTCAAAATTAGGATAAAAACGTCGGCAAAGATTGCAATATTGATATGTACTGGTGTCCAAGCAACGTAAACTTGCATCTCCATTCAAGCATAATATATGAATCAGAAGGCGCGCCAGGCGCGGCAGCTCGCCCGGGCGCCTGGTGGGGGGGTAGAGCGCCAGGCGAAGCAGCTCACCCAATTGTACGCGCGCCTGTGCAGCTAACGTGCGTGTGCGTGCGTGTGTACGTACGTGCGAGTGTGCGAGCGCGGCTAGCAGCGGTACGCGGCGCGCGAGCAACAGGCACGCCAGGCGCGGCAGCTCGCCCAGCTGCTCGCGCGCCTGTGCAGCTGTGCAAGCGTGCGGGCAGTAGACGCGCCAGGCGCGGCAGCTCAACCAAATATACGCGCGCCTGTGCAGCTAACGTGCGTGTGTACGTACGTGCGAGTGTGCGAGCGCGGCTAGCAGCGGTACGCGGCGCGCGAGCAACAGGCACGCCAGGCGCGGCAGCTCGCCCAGCTGCTCGCGCGCCTGTGCAGCTGTGCAAGCGTGCGGGCAGTAGACGCGCCAGGCGCGGCAGCTCACCCAAATGTACGCGCGCCTGTGCAGCTAACGTGCGTGTGTACGTACGTGCGAGTGTGCGAGCGCGGCTAGCAGCGGTACGCGGCGCGCGAGCAACAGGCACGCCAGGCGCGGCAGCTCGCCCAGCTGCTCGCGCGCCTGTGCAGCTGTGCAAGCGTGCGGGCAGTAGACGCGCCAGGCGCGGCAGCTCACCCAAATGTACGCGCGCCTGTGCAGCTAACGTGCGTGTGTACGTACGTGCGAGGGCGCGAGCGCGGCGAGCAGCGGCACGGCGGCGCGCGGGCGCGCGGGCAGCAGGCGCGCCAGGCGGGGAAGCTCGCCCAGCTGCGCGCACGCCTCGCACAGCGCCGGCCGCGCGCGAACCAGCGCTGCTAATGCGCGCGCGCACGTCTCCCCGCGTCCGCCGCGCACCTGCACACACACACACCCCCAGACCCATATTTATTACCAGAGAAGCCAACAAAGGAGGGAACACTGAACGCAGCGTGCATTCCAATAAGAGCATACACAACTTTTTCTACCACCAATGCGGCGCTTTGGAACGACGTGAAATATTTTACAAAGGTGAAGTTAAATTATCACGAAAATATAAAATATAATATTTTTTCTAAAATATTTGTTATATTTTAGATAAATTAGAATAAAATGGCTTAACTACAGACATTCCTAAAAGTAAAGTTAAAATAGTAAAAGAGCAACCATTAAGGCATTGTATTGTATATTACACGTTATTTAGTAATGTATATTATATTTGGTTCAGAATAAGTAATATAGGCGAAGGGCAAAAAAAATATAAAAAAACTCAATTATTCTAACCTTTTTATCTTTTAAATTGAGAATTGAATTAATTTAACTGATTATTATTTATAAATAATTAACGCCTACTATTTTACTACGTACACACACATTCGTCGCGCCATTCCCTTCCGTTCACCGTTTCAACGTTAGGAACCTACGTCTGCCCACGATAGCTACAGCTACAGTGACATCTGACAATGTTGAGCGTGACGGCGTGACCTCATTACGTACGAGTCTGCTATTTTTAAATTTTAGTAGGTAGAGTCGCTTCGTTACCAAATACGGTACTAAAATATTCGAACCGCGAATACTAAGAAACTACGAAATGGTGCGGTGTTAAATTTTAAGCAATGAACGTGCTACCCCTTAGTGCGCAGATTATACGAAAGTGAGTCTTTACGCAGCAAGAAATTAACGTACATGTACCTAGCAAACGAAGAACAATTGATAGCTAATCAAACTATTCAAGTGCAATGAGCGATAATTTAAATAATGAATATGAACATAGGTGGAGTGTGCATGAATGACTGACTGACTGAATGATGACTGCCAGCTCATGAGGTACCTTGAAGATCACCAGCTGATTAGTGACCGCCAATACGGTTTTCGCCGTGGTCGGTCAGCTGGTGATCTTCTGGTCTACCTAACTCACAGATGGGCGGAGGCAGTAGAGTTCAAGGGGGAGGCATTGGCCGTTAGTTTGGACATTGCGAAGGCCTTCGATCGGGTTTGGCACAAAGCGCTTCTTTCGAAGCTCCCTTCCTATGGGCTTCCCGAGAAATTGTGCGATTGGATCACCAGCTTTCTTGCAGATCGGAGCATCAAGGTCGTTGTAGACGGTGCAAGCTCCGATTGCAAGCCTATTAATGCTGGTGTTCCACAGGGCTGTGTGCTATCGCCAACGCTGTTTCTTCTGCATATCAATGACATGTTGCATACCCGTAACATTCATTGCTATGCAGATGACAACACTGGTGATGCTCTTTACACCGGCCGAGCCAATATTTCTCGGGAAAACGTCTCCGAGTGCCGGGACAAACTTGTGTCTGAAGTCGAGTCTCTGCTGGACAGAGTCTCGGATTGGGGGCGACTGAATCTAGTCCAGTTTAACCCCCAGAAGACACAAGTTTGCGCGTTAACCGCTAAAAAGAACCCCTTTGTCGTATCCCCTCAGTTTCAAGGCACTACCCTTGTTGCCTCAGCCAGTATCGGAATCCTCGGCGTCGACATATCGAGTGACGTGCAGTTTCGTGGTCACTTGGAAGGGAAGGCCAAATTGGCCTCTAAAAAGCTTGGCGTGCTCAGCAGAGCGGGACAGTATTTCATGCCGGCACACCGCCTGCAACTTTACAAGGCGCAGGTTCGGCCGCACATGGAATACTGTTCCCATCTCTGGGCTGGGGCTCCCCAGTACCAGCTTCTTCCACTTGACCGCATCCAGCGCAGAGCGGCTCGAATCGTCGACGACCGAGTGCTTTCCGATCGGCTCGATTCACTGGCGCTACGAAGAGATGTTGCATCTCTTTGCGTATTTTATCGCATCTATCACGGGGAGTGCTCTGAGGAATTGTTCGGATTAATCCCAGCCGCCAAATTTCGTGAACGCACTACACGTCAAACGTCCCGATACCATCCACACCATCTGGATGCTTGGCGGTCCACCACTGTACGTTTCACAAGGAGTTTTTTTCCACGTACAACCTCTCTGTGGAATAGTTTACCACCGGCGATTTTTCCGGACCGATACGACCTGGGGACCTTCACGAAAAGAGCTTACTCCTTTCTAAAGGGCCGGCAACGCACCCGCAATTCTCCTGGTGTTGCGGTTGATCATGGGCGGCGGTAGTCACTTAACATCAGGTGAGCCACATGCTCGTTTGCCCCTTCTTCTATAAAAAAAAATGAATGCCTTTATACTATGGCCTGCAAACTCGTCCCACCTTTTATAGTTATAATATTATCTGCGGGGTGTAATATCAACTTATTACGTGCTTACTTATTTTTTAATAATGTAAAGAGTTCGCATAACCGTGACAAATATTATATGTAAGATTTAGCCATATTTTACTAAATTAAAACCAAATTTTCTCGAAATTCTTGCCGAGGCCCTCCCTTTCCCCATTTGAGATTGCATAAGATTCTACTTGACTCACCTCACCCCCAAACCACCTCATCCGTACGTAATTAATGAACTCCCCCTAAGTAATGGTTTGAAATGGATTTTGACAAGTGTGAAACAGCGGAAACGATGAAACAATTGCATCGATGGTGATGTGAACTCACGATTAGGCGCCTTTAGATACTATCGTCATCGACTTAAATCATCCCAAAAACGCATTAACGTATTGTGAGCAACAAATAATTATTTGAAGGATAATTTCTTATTATGCTTGACACTGGCAAAAGTAAAACAGTGCGAGTCCGTAACAGAGCCAGGCTGCAGCTATATTATGGTTGCAGCACGTATGGGTCGGCGCGACCGGGGAAGAGACACGCTCTCACAGAATACTAGCGGAAAATAGGTGCTCAATACTTGCTATGTTTCGTATGGTGACTCTTTTTACTGGAAACGAGGCTTTCCATCTTAGTCTCAGGGGTGGCAACGCAAGTGCATTTTGATTCTTGATCAAGGACAAATATAGATCTCTATAGGCCACAACTTCCACTTACCATCAGGTGGACTGTGTTTTTGTTTGTCACCGTTATTCTAGAAATAAAAAAGAGTGCATTCCCAAAGATCAAATTAACATAAACCTTGACGGGAATCCCATCGCGAACTGTTGCTCCTGTTTTAACGGTGGAGACGACAAAACTTTCCGATGTTGATATAAGCAAGTAATTTTGTTTACATAGCAATACGCCTATGTCCGACTTGAGACACTATCGTCATCGACTATCTAAGGAGTTAAGCTATCGTCAAAATCTCCCGGCTTCGCAACGTGACGTTTTTTGGTTCGATACAATGAAATTGACGTGTATATATCGTGTTTACGTTTAAGAGGTCCAAACTTATGAAGACCGCCGAAGCAAAATTGTTGCTGCACTAGTATAAAAAAATATTGAAGAAGGCGTACTCGTCTATGCATGGACAGAAACGGATTCCATTTTGAGGTACTTACTACTTGCGTAATTAAGTTGTAAATATTTTATTGTAATTTTTTAAATACACCATAATATTTTTTGGAGTGAAAACTTCATTAGCAGCGTTACGATTTACGCTACGTTACGAGTAACACTAAAATGAGACATAAGTAGTTCTTCAAAACGTACAAAAACATAGAATTGTTTAGCAATATATGTACATTCAAATTATTTTTTTTTGAATTGGAAGAAACTGTAATTTGATTCGAAACGATAATTTCATAAAAAATAATGAAAATACTTAAACATAAAACCAGCAGTGAAACTTAAATATGTAAAATCTAGCTGACAAGGGTCATTAAACGCGCGACGCTGAATCCGGTCGGCCCGCAGCCACATGAGTAGATAAACGGAATTATCTACTCATGTGCCGCCCACGATCTTACCAATACCTACCTAATAATTTACAACACTTGTCCAAATACCTAACTTATCTACTTAAACTACTATTTTGCCACTATGCTAGTCTCCGCCTAGCTACTTTTATTCGAATTCACAGGTTAAATAAACCATATAACTGGTTCGATTCCCCGCTTATAAAAAATTTACTTAAATTATGTATCGTGTAGTATGTTTATTATTCTGATGTATTCAGTTATGTACCTATTCAGATCAGATCAGTAGTGAGTTATTTAAAAAAATTCGGTATAAAACTTACCGATCTAAATCCTTATATAAACCGTATGGGCATACGTTAACCGACCATTGGGTTTGGTGCTCGATTTGACGAACAGCGTGCGGGTTAACCTTGGATATAGGCGCATCCGGTTACACTTTAGCACCTTGTGAACTGTCCAGTATGACACACTTGTTCCTTACCGAAGCGTTCACAATTTCACGATACTTTATATAATTGTAAATTCATAATGCACGCGAAGCATTCCCGCGAGCTTTTCCAAGGCACATTAACATGTCGTCGTGTTCACGAGCACTATAAACGTACGCGTTAGGCGTTATTAAAACAAAACAAGAAACACAAAACGTTACGACAATTTCATAAACATAACGATGAAACTGTCGCTCACGCGTACGTCAACACGGAACGGTCTCAAAAACTAAAATTAATAAATGCCCCACCTTCGTGTGTCCTTGCGGTTAGCATTTTGACCATTCCACGGATCATTAAACCGTTACGACATTCCCAACTTTAATTTTATAAGTTTAGTTATACCTACGACTAGTCTTCATATGGAATTTAGAAGTTATAATTGTTTTTAATACAATTAGACAATCAATTGTACCCTGACGCAACAAGCAGTTCGTTACTACAAAAATGATATTGACATTAATAAACGTACCTAATTGGGTGCTCACTTACACAATTATAAACATAATTTCGTCGTTATTTTTGATTTTGTACAAGAAAATGGAAATGAAATGGTACTGAAAAATTTAATAGTTAAAATCAATTGCAATTATGATCGATAGTTAACTTATCAGAATTAATCTAAAAAATAATTCTCTTACTTTATTTTAATTGACTGATCTTTTTTTAATCCGCCCAATACTTTGAATTTAAAAAGAGAAAAATCAAAACTATTAAAATTAATTCCAAGTTTCACTGTGATTGCCACCTCTAATTCTTATTTCGCCTGCACATTTTAGTAAGTAAATTTCGGTTTGGCAACGCCGCAACATGCGTGTGAAAGGGAAGGGTAGAGTGAGTGTGAGTGAGTGTGAGTGAGAGTGAGGAGTAAATACAGTAATACCTAATGTATTGTTTCGTACCGAGCTCGATAAAAATAGTTCAGCGTCCGCGCGTTTTTTTACTCTTTATCAGTTGATTTCAGGTATTTAAGTTTCACTGCTGATTTTACGTTTAGGTATTTTCATGATTTTTTTATGAAATTATAGTTCCATTTAGCTGTACTAACATGACAGAGCGTGAATAAAGCTAATTAAACGTTGTTAAAAAAATGTTGTTTTTTTTTCATCGGGATCGATTTTTTTGTCTCATCATCAAAGGTATCCTTGATTCTATCGTCTGTCTTCGTTTTCGGGGGCGTTTCAAAAATACCCTGTATTTTATTTTTTTACCAGGTCAACATCGTTTTATAATATCATTTCACTATTGGCAAATGGGCATGATAATTTGATCTAAAACTGCCAATTTCGATGCGCGTGCTGTTGTATCCTTATTAAGAAATAGCGAATAGTGTTGAATCTTGGTACTTTTGCGAAAATACAGTTCCTCACCGATCCACTAATAATTTTCATTCAAGTAAGGACAATGTTTCATCTAACATTATAATACAGTGTCACAATATATGTGATTTTATGTAGGTATAGTATAATATTTATGTGCGTGATTCAAATTGTTTGATTTTTATAATATAAATTTAAAAAATCTTAGCTTATTTCACTACCGTAACTTTCACTACCGTAGATAAATGCAAATTTTCATGGTCCCGGGTTATCTTCGTACAGTTCGCGGTCTTCTTCCCAATGCAATGTGTCTATTACCGTCCAGTGTACCTGAACCGACTTCTGAATATCCTCATATTCTTATTATTCAGAGACTAAAGAGATCAATGCTGCTAATATCCCGCTGAAAAGCTTTAAAGTTGCGTTACTTCTTTCCCTTCGTAACATATCCTCTAACTTGCTACTGGTGATTTGGGCTCGGGATGTTACTGCATCAGCTGTAGTTTCAAGATGATGCGCGCTGCCAGATGGTAAGAGCTGAAAAGCATGTCTTTTGCAATGCGATAGGCCTGAGAAGGCTTTTTCTTTAGAGTCACTCGTTAAATAACTAAGAAGATAATTTGCGATTTTCATTGTAAAAATGGATGTTCTTTTATAGTAATTGCCAGTACAACATTCATGAGATTTATCGTCAGATTCTCAAAGCTTTACGTATTATTTTGAAACTCTTGCCAATAACTTTCTAAAGTGCCGAGTCACTTTTTATTATGAGCCGACATGTTGCGTTCGGCACCGTCTTTTTTAAAGTTGATTAGGAGCTGACTAGCTGGAAGATCTTCCATTTTGACCAATTACTGTGGCTGATGACTATAATAGAGCTGTAGACTTACTAATACTGCTGCAGGTTGACTTTCGTGGCGCGTCACCGCTTTCGCAATCTAAAATAGGTCACTCGCGACAGAGGTCCCACTCACAGTAAGCTCGAAGGACCATAAAGATGTACGTTTCAACTAAGATGCTGATGCTGATAAGATAAATAAAATAGTAGATACATAAGTACAATGGTAGATATATTTAAAAAAACTGCTAATAGCTAATGATGAGAAACGCGCTGTGTAGCCATGCCATGAACCATGCTATGAAATCGATGAACAATGAAATAAATATATAAGGCACACGCTGATTGGTACAATAATAAAATAGGGATTATGTACGATTAAGTAGTCACATAAAGTAGCTGAGTCTGGTCACGGCGTGACTTAAAATGTACGCATCACCTATTTTTCCTTGTTGGTCTAAGACTAAAATAAAACAAGCTGTAAAAGTGTTAAATATTAAAACAGTGTAAGAATAAACAATTATTTCCCCATAACAAATTCTCAATCTATACATTTTTCCATCTAATATTAAGAACAATTTAACATTAATTGGCGTTATCTTAATATTATTATTCTCTTATTATTATTATTGGCGTTATCTTACATCCGAAGAATCCTTGTTGAGCGAGGTGAGCGTCTCAGTGAGCAGCTCTTGCAGGAATTTTTTAGGGCTCCGCAGGCTCCAGTTTGGGTTCTGTAGGAACAGCTTGAGGTACACGCCGCCCACCACCACCTCGCCCGGTGGTGCCCATACTTCCTCACCGTTTGCCACCCGCTCTAACGTCTCCCGATCCTCGAACAATACATTAGGATCCCGCAACTGGTTGGCTAGGTGCCTGGTTAGGATAAAAAGAAATGAACATTGTTCTATTCAGTCATGGAAAACCGTCCAATTTATAGTGACACCGACAAAACTTTATTTAGATTTTATTTTATTCGGAACATTGATATATTTCATTTATTACAAAATTTGAAATAAACATAGCTACAAAGTTATTCGCATATGGAAATTTTAACGCTGCTTCCTGATCGTCGATCCGATCACTAAGTCCGGGTGCACAGTATAAACAACTAACAACAATAATGACGTAATTACGTCGTAGTCGGCAACGGTTAGATCCGGGTCAGATCCGCTCTTTCTCTATTCAGGAATACTAGGTATTAGGCCTAACTGTGTTTGTAATTTTCATAGCTTAAGCGTGATGGACTCAGAGGCATCCGACGTGATCAACTAGATGGGGGTTGTGTAAGAATGCACTCCGTACTTCCCGTCTCATGTAGGCACGCCTCACACCAGCTTTGAGTGCTCGTGCGCCGCGTCGAATGACTTCGCAAGTGTGCTTCAGCGAATGTCAGTGTGTGTCGATGCATATTGGTATGTGTTGGTGCGTGTACAGTGTATGACGTTGTGTGACAGTGTATGACGTTGTGTGACGTTGTGGGACGGTGTGTGTCGGTGTGTGCCGGCGTGTGCCGGTGTGTGCCGGTGTATGCCGATTGACTTGTGCCGGTGTGTGACGGTGCATGACGATTTGTGCCGGTGTGTGTCGTTGTGTGTCGCTGTGTGTTAGTGTGTTAGTGTGTATCGGTGTGTCAACGTGTGTCGGTGTATGTCGGTTTGTGTCGGTATGTGTCGGTGTGTGCCTGTGTGTGTCGGTGCGTGTCTGTGCGTATCAGTGTGTGTCATTACGTGTTGGTGTGTGACAGTGTATGACGTTGTGTGACGTTGTGTGACGGTGTGTGCCGGTGTGTGCCGGTGTGTGCCGGTGTGTGCCGGTGTGTGTGTCGGTGTGTGCCGGTGTGTGTCAGTATGTGTCGGTATGTGAAAGTGTGTGTCGGCGTGTGACGGAGTGTGTCGGGGTGTGTCGGTGTGTGTCGGTATGTGTCGGTGTGTGACGGTGTGTGCCGATTTGTGCCGGTGTGTACCGGTGTGTGTTGGTGTGTGTCGGTGAGTGTCGATGTGTGTCGGTGTGTGTCGGTGGTATGTGTCGGTCTGTTTCGTTGTGTATCGGTGTTGTCGTTGTGTGTCGGTGTGTGTACGTATGTGTCGGTGTGTGCCTATGTGTGCCTATGTGTGCCGGTGTGTGTCGGTGCGTTTCGGTGCGTATTGGTGCTTATCGGTGCGTGTCGGTATACGAAGACGCGTGTCGGTGCGTTACGGTACGTGTTGGTGGATGTTGGTGCGTGTCGGTGCGTGTCGGTGCGTGTCGCTGCGTGTCGGTGTATGTTTCGACGTGTGTCGGTAAGTGATACTCACCGAGAGTATGGATCACACACCTGTCACGCAGCGCCGCGACGTGAGCCTGCACACGGCGGCGCGCGTCGTCGCCCCACACCAGCTCGGGGTGCTCGTGCGTCGCGTCGAAGGACTGCGCCGCCACGCTGCACGATTCGCGCATCGCGTCCGCAAACACGCCCGGCATATATCGCGATATCGTCAGCCGCACCTGCACAACAGCATATAGCACACTTTTATTGATAATAATAATAATAATAATTTCATTTATTCGCTTAAACATGGTACATTAGAGGTGACAAATATTGGATATTGTATATAGTCCACATGTTTACCACATCTGGCATGCGAAAATTATTAATTAAACGAAAAGACATAGTCATGTACCTACATTGATTAATTTAAAACAAATGAATATAAATTAAGAACGTTAAAATTACAATCATTATTACAAGCAAAGAATTTAAATATGCATTATTCATTTAAATCAAATAAAATTAAAATACAATCAACATGTCAATCATTATAAAAAGTAAAAATTAGAATGTCAAAAGAGTACATATACAAAATCTACAGATTACACAAAAAATAGTCTAAAAGAATACATTAATGTCAAGTTCAGGCAGCAAGATTATTCATTTAAAAATTGTTTTACGTCATAAACGCACTTTAGTAGTAGCCAGCTTTTTAGTTTGGTTTTAAATTTACCAGTTTCTGTCTCTTCTTTAATGTTTACCGGAAGTTTATTATAAATTTTTACACTCATCGCGTAGCAGCCATTATGATAAAATGCAGTTTTAGGTATACGTTCTATAACTAGTCTATTAGAATTTCGATTGCTACGCAAGTATACCTCAGATGCATTTTTGTACATATGTAAATGTTTTTTTACATGAACACTTGCTTCAAATATGTACATACCTGGTAAAGTTAGTATGTTAAGATCCCTAAACAAGGGCTTACAGGAATCATACCATTTGGCCCCAGTTAGGGCTCTCACACACTTTTTTTGAGCTATAAAAGCTCTTTTTGAATAAGAGCTATTACCCCAAATTAATAATCCGTATCTTAATATTGTTGCAACATATCCATGGTATGCAATGAGTGCGGTTTGACTTGACGATGTTCTTCTTAACCTATTTAAAACATATACAAATCTATTAATTTTATTACAAATTTCGTCAATATGAGCCATCCAATTACAATTACTATCTAATTTTATTCCCAGAAATTTCTTCTGTTCGTTTTCTTGCACTTTGTCATTATTATATCTTACGTCAAGATCTAGTTTCTTTCTACTATTACTATAGAATTGTAAATAACAGGTTTTTGCGATATTGACTTTCAAATTATTATTATGTAACCATGAAATGACATCATTTATTGCACATTTTATGTCGTTTTCATAATAATCTTTATTTCCATGATTATTTTTTATGATTAAAGATATGTCATCCGCAAACAAAATGCATGGGAATGGAGTTGAATCCGGTAAATCATTTACATAAATTACAAACAAAAAAAGGTCCAAGAACACTTCCCTGAGGAACTCCAGCGTACTTAAGAACTAGTCGCGATCTGAATTTTGTCAAAATATTATTTTTATTAGGGCTTATAACTTCCACACACTGTTTTCTTGATGATAAGTATGACTTTATCCACTGCAATGTCAGTCCTCTTATTCCATACTTTTCTAGCTTACGTAATAAGGTGTCAGGGCAAACAAAGTCAAATGCTTTTGACATATCGAAAAATACACTTGTTACATTTACCTTATCATCTATTGCATCGGTGATTCTTTTTAATAGATCAAAACACGCCATCGTGGTTGATTTGTTTTGCTGAAAGCCATACTGTTCTTTTTTCATAAACTTGTTTTCATTAAAATAATGACTAAGCCTACTATGCATAGCTTTTTCAAAAATTTTTGAGAAAACTGACAAAATTGTTATTGGACGATAGTTATTAATATCTTTTTTATCACCTTGCTTAAATAAGGGCTTGATCAAAGATAGTTTTAATGACTCTTATTTTAAGTTAAAAGTTGTGGTTCCGAACCGGTGGTCTGTTGACCACTGATGGTGGTTCCTAAGACTAACCGAAATGGTCCCTTTGGACACCCAAAATTATCCGCAAAACATCAAACATTTCTCTCACATATAGAATATTTAAAACATTCCTAGAGATTATGTAGATCAATCTTTCCCTAAGTGGGCGATAACGCCCCCTTGTGGGCGTCGGAGACCTAGAGGGCACCCCCCTTAAGGAGCTCCCTTAAGGAGCCCAGAATTACATAATATATTGTGTAAAATATCAACATTATTAAAATAATAATAAGTACGCTAGACGCTTGCCGTGTTCTGGGTTTAATAGTCAGTATAGTTACAGGCTGTGAGACACTTCATCTTAGGTCTCAAAGGTAACGTATCTGTGACCTTTGTTTTAAGGCAGATGCAAATGTAAGCTTTTATTATTAAAACAGTGGCTCTTAACCTTTTAGGCATGAGGATTTATTTAACCGACTTTTTGTTTTTTCGTAGATTAATAACGTTGATTTTCAAGTTTGTTTTATACATAAACGAATACGACAAGGTGATATTTGCACCCCATATTTTAATGTGGTATATTGTGGAGTACATTGTAGAGAAACCGTATTGGCAGTATCTCCATCTGCATCAGAGATTATCAAACTAATTTCTTTTACCGCCCCCTTTGAAAATCAATTATTTTCGGAGCTCAGCTTGGCTACGAAAACGACTTATTAAGTTCAAGTCATCACCTTGAAGTTGGAGATTCATATCATTAAGAGCCCTCTTACATTTCGGTGTTACGCAAATTTAGGTATTTTACGCTACGAACGGACGACGACCTGCGCAAGCGATACTTTATTTCATATTACCTACTCATTCGCTCGCACTATGATACTGTGAGTATAGCGACTAAACGATCTTTGTTGATCTTCCATTATACAAGTTTTATTAGAATGGCAGTTCAGTGAATGCAAAAATTTTAGTGTGTCATTTTTATGTTATCTAATTATTTTATTATAATCTATTTGATATATTTTTCATTATTTATGAACTTTAGTGTTGGAATAAATACACATAAATATTTTAATTATTTAACAGTAATCAATTGTTTGTTAACCTATGTTGGTTAATAATCGATCATATCTGCTAACGGTAGCATAGTGGTATAAATAAATAAATTGTACGGTTGCAACCTGTTTTAATAAATAAAATAACCAACTGTAACTAATATTTTTTAAATCGGTACATGCAATCAATTACCATATTTTTTATCATAAAAATATTTGCCGCAACGGCATGGACCGAGCTTATCTCGAGTCAATAATTTCAAGCAATACACACTTTTTATAAAACGCTTGTAACTTGGGTAACATATTCAAAATCCAAAATTTGTCGTCTTTGTATATTTTTAGTACTTCTACTGCATTATCTGGGGTAGTCCATATGGCAAGCATGCAGACATTTTTATTCTCCATTATTATTTCAATTACATAGAATAAATATAATTACAGTAATGAAGAAATAAAAACAACAATAAAAATACTTTTCATACCTTAGGTCCATGCAATTTATCGGACATCATTCGAGCCAACAATTCCGCGGCAGCTTCTCTTGTTTCTGGTATTTTACTGTTGCAAAATAGATCCAAAAGGTATATCACAGCACCTGTTACAAAAGAAAAACTTTTGTGCAGATAACTAACTTACATAAATTTATTCACTATGATAAATGTTGTATTTGATAAAGATGAAATATGTAATTGTTAGTTAAAATTATAAATCTTTATTCTTATGAGAATAAAGATATCTCAGACCACATTCTATACGTGTTTCTGTCTCTATCTCACTTCTTTTTACAAAGCAAAAATCGTTTCTGCAATATAATAGTTTCATCTAGCAATATCATAATATTGAAACTTTCGTTTATGTCTCTGCATGCACCTTCGTGTTTGTGCTGAGACACGTACCCTTGACGAGCGCCTCGCGCACGAGCGCGGTGCCAGTGAGCAGCATGGCGGGCGGTGGGCGACGGAGCGCGCTCGCCCAGCAGCGGCAGCAGGTGCCCAAGCACGCCGACCGCCGCCACGTGCTGCACGCACTGCACGTGCACACACACCGCGACACGTACCCTTGGCGAGCGCCTAGCGCACGAGCGTGGTGCTGGCGAGCAGCACGAGTGCGGGCAGCGCACCGGGCGGCGGCGCGCGCTCGCCCAGTAGCGGCAGCAGGTGCCTCAGCACGCCGGCCACAGCCACGCGCTGCACACAGTGCACATGCACACACACAGCGACACGTACCCTTGGCGAGCGCCTCGCGCACGAGCGTGGTGCTGGCGAGCAGCGCGGCGAGTGCGGGCAGCGCATCAGGCGGCGGCGCGCGCTCGCCCAGCAGCGGCAGCAGGTGCCCTAGCACGCCGGCCGCCGCCACGTCCTCCACGCACTCGCGTACGCCACTCGCCGCCTGTGCCGCACGCAGCGCAGCCGCGCGCATCGGCCCCCACGCGCGCCCAGAGATCAGCCCAAAGATCAGTCCGAACGAGCCGATGCACTGAATCTCCACTCCTGCACACATTAACAAACCTAAACTTAAAAGAATCCATACAACACTTTGATTATTAAACCAAAGGAGACGGCATCGCAAGGCATACACTAATAATACATAATACTCTGTAAAAGGTACCAATAAAAATTCCGAATGGCAGTGTATTTGCATGCAAAAAACAATCCAAACCGTCAAATCTACAAAAGGGCAACGTGAATACTTTTAACATAATATTATAGTTAAAACTCGTACTTTTTGGATATTTACGTAAAATACCAAGTGTTGCCAACATAGTTCACGAAGTGAAAAATAAGCGATTTTAAAATAAATATAATTTAATACACAAAATGAATATATTAACGAAAATTTATTTCGTACCAACTAAATCAATTTGTGATGAATAATGATGATTACATTAGATGTGTAGTGGATTTTGTCAAATGATTTAAAAATTCAGCTATACAAATACCACAAAAATCTAAGATTGACCGCACAAAGGAAAAGTACAGAGTTTTTAGCGTTTATTAATGGGTTTGTTTATCCTAAAAATAAAGCTCAAGGTACGGAATGCATTGCCTAGGGTTTGGGTCCCGGGACGTCTCGTGTCTGGAAGTCCCGGGACTTTTCGTAATTTTAGTTGTCTCGTGTCCCGAGACACCCGAAAGGTGACTCGAGACGAGACAAGATTGTCGAATTTTTTATGTAATCATTTCTATTTTCAAATAATTGCCAAGCCAAAGCCAAGCGCCATCTGCTAGCTTAATGAATAATTACTTGATCTACTAGGTAGCTACCGAGTACACAACACAATAAATGCGTTTGCCGCGCCGCCATCATGCCGCCTTATTGTTTGTTCTGTGAACTGTGATGTTTGGATTATGAATGTTTATGTCATTTGAGTCAGTTAGTCGTCACTCGTCAATTTCATTTATGACGTGAGTGTGGTGTGGTGTTTCTTTTGTAACGCCGCTTTTGTAAAATCGACGAAGCCCATAAGTCTCATGTAAGTTTAATAGGTCATGTTTATAAATGCTGTTTTTAAAGAACACCTTATTCTTTTAATTTGGTCGGGTTAAAACTCGCAAACTATGCGGTGCCGTGTATTATTTAATGTTATTTTACAAAGAAGATACAACATATAAAATTAATTTTGGATTATTACTATTATTGTTACAGATTATTATTATTACAAAAAAAAATAATATGGAGCGTACACGTACAGCAAAAGTGTGGAAACATTAAAAAAAATAAACGAATCAACAGCACAGTGCTCGTTATGTCCAAAACAAATTTCATGCAAAGGGTCGAATACTTCAGGCCTTGACAGACACCTCCAAAGAGTTCACAATATTTCTGTAAATCAACCGCCGGAAGAATCAAAATCATTTATACAGCCTGGTACATCTTGCGAACCGGTATCAAAAAAAATTAAACGTGAAAAACAGTCTGAAATTACAGGATATATTGCAAAAAAGTCTTTGCCTGAAATTATTTCCCGCTTGGCAGCAGAGGATGGACTTACCATAAGAGCAATCACAAGGAGTAAGTTCATTCGTGAGAGTATTAGCCAGCGAGGATATAAAATGCCTAAGAACGAGACTGATATCATGAAAATCATCTTGAATTATTATGAAGAAAAAAAGAAGAAATGATTCAAAATTTTAAAGATTTTGTCGCTTCTGGTGCACGTTTCAGCCTTTCAGTTGACGAATGGACCAGCGTCCGAAACCGAAGGTACTTTAATTTGTGTTTGCATGGTAAGGATGGAAAAGTTTTCAATTTGGGATTAATCTATATACCAGGTAAATGTGGTGCCGAAGAGACCAGGAAAATAGTAGAAGACACATTAATAAGATTTAAATTGGTTTTTGAAAAACATATTGTGGCCACCACCAGCGATGGCCCAAACGTAATGAAGAAGTTTGGTAGGGAAAGCCCCAGCGAGATGATTTTATGTATGAACCACGCAATCCATCTAAGAGTCGTAGATACATTTTATAAAAAGAAAGAGGCTTCTACCACATCCATAGTTTTTAGCTGCGAAGATAGTGAGGATGAATTCATGGAAAACTCTACTGATGATGAAACGGACTACGAAACAAACTACCAACCAATAGATGAAATTAAAAGAGTGCTTGATGAAACAAGGTTTTTAGTGAAATTATTTAGAAAAAGTCCATTGAAAAACAGCCAATTACAGAATTATGTGAAATCTGAATTTGGGAAAGAACTCAGTTTACTACTGGATGTTAAAACAAGGTGGAATTCCATCATTGTGATGGCAGAACGGTTACTGAAGCTCAAAAATTGCGTGAAGAAAGCGTTAATTGATATAAATATGATAGATAAGTGGAATGAAGACAATCTTCTTCTCTTGCAGTCAATTGTTGATTTGTTGCAGCCAGTTAAGATAGCTGTGGAAGCCTTATGTCGACAAAACGCTTCATTACTTACAGCCGAAGCAATAATTGACGTTTTATTCAAAAAAATTCAATCGACAATGACTAATAATAATTCGGCTAAGCGGTTCTTCGAAACTTTGAAAGCTCGCCTAGAAGAGAGAAGACCACAACGAGTTGTGTGCTTGTTGAAATATTTGCACACTGGCCACCACACCTCAAAGTCTTAAAACACGGTCTTTTTCAACTCGAATATTAGTAAAACTGCACTAATTGCCTTTGCGAAAGAACTGTATTGTAGGCTTTTTGAATATGTCCCTAGTATACGGACACCAGACATGGCATAATGGACGCTGAACCTAGTAACAGTAGCTCTCAAGTACACAACGAGCCTAACGATGACGAGTCTTTTGTAAATCGAATGGAACAAGCAATAAAAAATATTCAGGAAAATGTACCCGAGATTTTGGAAAAAAAACAAGAGCAACATTAAAAAAAGAGTTTCAGTTGTTTGAAGAAACCGGAAAACGTACAGAAAGTTTGGAACTACTGTATAAAGCCTTAAACACAATAAAACCGACATCTGTTGAAAATCAGAGAGTGTTTTCCTTGTCCGGTGGCGTTATTACAAAAATCAGAAACAGACTGTCGGACAAAGCTGTTGACGCTCTGATTTTTTTAAAAGCCAATTTTATTAAATCAGCAAAGAAATCGAATTATTGTGTTAGTTGAATATTTAAAAGACTGATCTGTAAGTCTGTTTCAGTATTTATACTTATATTATTTAATTATTAAACAAATCTGTGATTATGATAATTAACAATGGTGTGATTATGACCAATGACTAGATTTAGATACTAGAACTACTAGATAATAGTAGTTATTAAGTAAATAAGTTCGTTTTATAACTATAGCTTAAAAGTGAACTCGTGTGTGATTGAAAGAAGTAAAAAAATTAAGACTGTCATTAACGTTAGTTATTAAGATTTAATTTTATGTGAATGTTTATTAAATGTTGATTTTTACAATAAATTGCCTTTTTTCCTCTTAAAATTTTAAATAAATATATAGCCTCTTAAAATAAAAAACAAAAAAAAAATCATAAAAGTCTCGAAGTCTCGTGTCCCGGGAATTTGAAATTGTCGGGAATTCCCAAACCCTAGCATTGCCTTAAATGTAATCAATCAATGTGTAAAATGAATGATAAATTTTGAATCCATTATTATATCCAGATCTCTAATACTATCAACTCTTTTAATGATAGTTTCAATAAGGATATAATCTAATATTATTTTGTTAACTTACGCGTATAAGATATAATATGGCATTTATCAACATAATAATTACATAGATCAGTTATGTCCTTTTGCAACTTTGCACAGTCATCAACTGTTTTGATAACTCTGAGTAACTTTGCGTCGTCGGTGTAAAATACATAATCACTATTTTTTAGTGCAAGACCTATATCATTAATATACGGGTGTAACAGAAATCAACGTAAAGCTGGAAACGGGTGACAGACCAAGTTATGATAGTTGTCAGAAAAATAAAAAAAAATTTAAGTTACGCAATTGATTAAGATAATATGCATTTTCAAAAAATTGAGAATATCTACCCGTTACTACATATATTTTTTAATTTTCTTTTTATTATGTAATCCTGAAAAAAATTTTTATAAGTTATTGACTAAATTTAAACCTAACTTCTCCAGCTTGGAAGAAAATGTCACTTTTAGCCCAATTAAGTATTCAAAGTTAATACTTCGCCAAATTTTAACTGAATGTACTGAACAAAATGTACTACGCTAGTGTGGCAAGTAACTTTAAAAGTTGGCGCATTTGATAAGGATTCCAAAATGGTATGACTGTATGCGTAACTGTGCAAGTATGTAATGCAATACAATGCAAGATTAAATGCTGCTGAATAGTACTCAAATACTGAGATTGTAGGATGCAAAATTAAACACTGTTTATCGTAACGCCTTGCTAGTAGTACTTCAGCAGTATTTAATCTTGCATTGCATTACATACTTGCATAGTTACGTATACATTTTTGGTCCTTCGACCACTACTAAAGTGTTTAGTGTTTTGACACAGTAGCGCATCGGTTCGTCTGGCCTCCCACAAGCGGGTCTCACCAGTCGAATTGAGAAGGCTCATATACTGTGCTGAGGACACGAACGCACTAAGTGGATCCGACGATTGAAAGTTACAGTTCCATCAGTGTAACTTGCAGCTTAATATTTAAACAATAACTTATCATCATGCAAGCCTTACTGCAGAGACAGTTTGAAATCGTAAACGAGATCAGAAAGCTTAATACCAATTTCAAATAGGATCCGAAGTTAAGAAAAAGTAAGGAATATATAGAGAAGAGAATCAAAGGTTTGGATGAACTTTGGTTCGAATTCAAAAGCAATAGCGAACAATTATTGACATTAAACGACAAGAGTCACGAATATTTTACAAAGGACATTTTACTTGTGTTTGAACATTTGTATAGCAAAACACGGGAAATGATGGCTGTGTATGAGTATGAATCAAAGGATTCATCGACTAAGGATAATACCACTCAGGTTGACATGTGTGAGACGAATATATACACCATTCGACTAGTGCGAGCGAGACAATAGTCGCCGTTGTCCATCTTTATCAACGCACACACAATACAGAGATACGTTACGCTCTGTCGTTTACTGAGCATCTTGCCGAATTCGTTCATGACGATTTAGTACTTACCACATTTTACTTCGTTTATTAAACTTGATTGCTTGTGATTTTTATTTGAACTGTTTAATATTTCTTTTCGCGACCTTTGCTTTCCCCTAGACTATCGTTGATCATATGATTGTGAAATGTCATGATGTCTATATACACCACACAGGAATATGGCAACATACATTTTATTTATGGGGAATGAAGAGACAATGCTAGTGTTGCAGCTACTTTATCGTAAGAGGTACCAAAATGCTACTCGTCATCCTGATCATCGAGTTTTTACAAATGTGCATCGTTTACTCTCAGAGGGCCGATTCCCAAACCAGGCAAATGATGAAGGAAGAATTTCTTTTCCTTACGAGGATATCGTACTACAAGCAATCGATGAAAACCCGAGTGCAGTCTCGAGTTTCTCGAGTGACTCGGTCAGCCGCCGCAATAGTGGGAGGGCTCTTCAAACTAGGTTAGACACATCATTTGAGTTTATTGAGCGGATATGAGCTAAGTAATTTTTTCCAACTTTAATTTTGAAAACGAATTTGTTCCGTTGTTTTTTTTTTTTTGTAAATCTTGTTAGTACATTTGTATTACATAAATTGGTTACAATTACAAAACAAACAAAAACAAAAAACAATGTGTTAAAGTGCTAAAGTAAAACAATGTTATCTTACCCGGATTTTTGATGATGACGTTTGCTAAAGCATTAAGCGCTAATGTGATGTGTTCGACTCTTTCGTCAGTCATTTCGTTTTGAGTTTGTTCTTCAATAAATTTGAGTAAATCTATCACAAACTGCTGAGGATTCTGTGAAAAAAAAACGTTGTATATTTAACAATTGATTAACCATTTTAAATAACATTAATATCTCAAGCCTTGCAGTGTACTCACCTCGATCGGGAAGTCGGGCTGCTCATTGTAGATATCTAGATAGACGTTACCCACGGGCAACAATCCCTCATGTGCCGTGTATTTAAAACCGGGATCCACAAGCGGCTCATCATCTTCCAGCGAACGCCACTGAGACAGCAGTTCCTTCAGCTCGGCGCGTGTACTATTGTCCCATACGAGGTAAGGCGTACGCCAATTCGACGTCAGAATTTTTAGGAGCTGAAAACAAAAATATAACCTGTTAGTAAGTGATTTTTTTACATAATCGCTATCAGAGTAACGGAATTATTTTAAAACTATGTAACATTATGAAATAAATACTTAGCTTTACCTCATGCCTATCGGGCTGTGACAGTCGCGCACACAAGTATGGAGTAAGCAATAAGTGCAATGCTTCGCGAACGCGCTCGTCTTCCGGTGTATTTTCTTCATGCGGCCCATACATTGCACTCAGAGCTGTCACACACTGGACTGCTAACTGATTGGCCACCACCTGCGGATAAGAAATATTTATTAAAATATATAAATGATATAGATTAGTAAGCTAATGTAGCAATAGTCCAGTCATATAGCTCGAAAACTCACAAACGATGCACGGACGCAGCCTCGTACTGGTAAACGGAATTGAGAGTGACTCCCATTAGTAACAAGCATATTTTTTTATAGGATAGGGTGACAAACGAGCACACAGTCCACCTGATGGTAAGTGGTTGCTGCGGCCCATAGACATCTACATCTATCTTTGATTGCAAATCAAAATACAGATGCGTTGTCACCCGTAAGGACTAAGATGGATTGTCTCGTTTCCAGTAAAAAGGGTCTCCAGTTCTCTACACTCACCATACGAAAGACAGCAGCATTAAGCTACTATTTTACGCGGGTATTCTGTGAGAGCGTGGCGCTTCCCCCGGTCGAGCCAACCCATTCGTGCTACAACTATACTACTAATATAACTGCAGCATGGCTCTATCACGTATGCAAAATAAGTAAAATGTTAATTTAACATTCCGATTCATACGTTGGCACATAAAGCTCTATGTGCAATGTACACACTAACCGCACGAAAATGAGCGGTCACGGTCGACATTAGGCATAAGAGGTAAGAAAAGTTTAATTTCTATTTAGTCCTTACTTTAGGAATCACCACATACGGGAGATTATATATAGATACTAGTAATTAACATGGTAGTTAACTTGGTACCGTTGAAGGGACTGCTGAACCGCCCTAACGATTCGTCAGAATCAAAGGCTCTCATTCTCATAGTCCACATACTCAAGACAAAGTGGCAGATTATACTCTTCGGACTTCTGTACAATTTGCCGGAGATGTACATATGTGGTCTATGGTGCTAAAGCCTTTTCGGAAACCGCCTTGTTCGAGGCTGGTAGTCGCCGAGTCTGCGAGCGAGACGGTTGAAGAAGCAGAAGTACTAAGTGGTTCGAAAGCCATTCTAATCTCGCTCAGACTAACGTCCGGGATATCATCGGAATAATGTCAGATAAGACTCGTTATTGGATCGTTACTCATACTTGCGTGTGGCCCCAGCAATAACGTGTACAGCTCCCCATAGAACCTCTCAGGTGTCCCGGAAACGATGCTGCCGCTTTCAGTCTTCAGCTTCGGCAGTTGGCTCCTTCGGGCGGACAGATCTCGGGCAAAGACTTTGGAGCCCTGGTTCCGCTCGATCGCTTCTTCAATATGCCTCATATTGAAGTTGCGTAAGTCCCGCCGTATGCATTTGGAGATCTGTCTATTCAGTTACATGTATACTGTCAAATCTGCTGAAGACTGCAGCTTCATCTCCCGTCTAACAGCCATGAGATTAAGAGTGTGATCAGAGAGTTTTTGTGTTTTGCGACGGGTTTTATAGAATTTAGCTACGCATGGACAGTTTCCAAAAGCTTGTCATTCATATCGTCCACTTCATTGCAGTCTTCTAGGCACTGAAAACGATTTTGTAACTCGAGCTGAGTTTTCGAAGTTTTGGATTAGGGCACGAGGGGGCAGGTGCGTTGAATTCTTTAGACGTATCCTTTCCAACTTCACATTCAGGTTGTGAGCCTCTCATCATTCGGTGATCACTGCCAGTTTTCACCCTCGCAATCACTGAGACATCACTGAGCAGTTGTCGTCTGGTCGTTATAACGAAGTCAATCTCATTTTTTGTCAAACCCTCTTGGCTCGACCAAGTCCATTTTCTTTGGAGCCGTTTTTGAAAGCAAGAGTTCATCATAAAGAGTCCCTTTTTCTTCATAAAGTCGGCCAGCTGCTGGCTCCTTGAGTTTCGTTTCCCTATTCCGAATTTCTGTATCTACAGCTCACCGTTCTCTAAAGCGCCCAGTTTTTTTAGCGGTATTGATTAGGCGGTTGTAGCGGTTTGGACTAATTTGTGACGTAAACGCTACCACTAATTCGTGAAGCACTCTTCGCTAGCGTTCATTTAAAGTGGATAGAACAGCTAAGGCGAGCAAGTGTGTAATGTCCATCCATCGGCGAATTTCACTAAACTTCGGAGAAAAAAACAACTCAGTTTTGACGGGAACCTGACGCTCTGATTTATCGCATGTCTGTGCATGTGAACTTTTAGTGGAAATGATGAAACAAGTGCACCGAGAGTAATTTGAATCTCAAGATAGACACATTATATTGAGGTTTTTAGGTGCCTTGAGTTACTATCGTCATCGTATGTCTGCTGGATCAAGTTGTCGTCAAAGGAAACAATCATTTTTGGGCCCACTAAAAATATTAACGTCATTTAATGGTATTTACACCAAAAAAAAGACACCAAATTATAATAGTAAATGGTCTATAGATTTTTCGAAAATGTAAACGGAAACAAGAAATCTGAAAAAAAAATTAGTTGTTTTGACATTCGTGTTCTGATCATTGGCTAAGGTCGTAGACAGAGAATGCTAGCTAAAGTAATGTAACATTTAAAAAATTATTGTCTTAGAGATGTGCCGTGATAACTCGGAAAAAATCGACTCGAGTTGAAATTCAGGTAACTCGATTTTGAGCTCGAGCTCAAAATCGAGTTAAAAAATTCAAATTAGATGAACGAAGCTGCGTCAATATTTCACAAATTATTTTTATAATTGTTCTTCCATACAACACAATTATTATTACTACACTTAATAGGTAGTTATATATTATTTTTGGTATGCGTATCGACATCTTCATAAAATAATATCACTAACGTTATGACGTAAGTCTTAATGTTATTAATAATTTGACTATCCAAAGTATATATAATCAATTTATATCATATATAACATAAATTGATACAACATTATATACATATTACCTAATATCAATTTATTTATTACATAATATATCAATAAATTGCTCGAATTAGTAAGTCGATTTCATCACTAAATTGTAGACAAACACTGTATTGGCCGTAAGATAAAGATGCGATTCGAGTAGAGTTTTGTGACTCGAGCCACTCGGGTTAATTTACGAGTATGTATGTATGTCATTCTAGTTGTACACTAGTTTTTGAGTAAATCAACTTTTTACAGAAAAGTTTATCACTAGAGTTGAGATCAGCGATTACTTTAGTTAAACCATTTTTAAATATGTACCTTTATAAATAAGTAATATGTGGCAACATGAAATTAAAACTATAAATCAATATCATAAATAAAACTAAGTTCAGGTTTGTTTACAACATGCCAGATGCAAGTTTGAATTTGGATGCAACTTGTGATGTCACCCGCAGCGACTTATTATATATACAAGTAAATTATTATATCTATATAGCACCCTCTGAATCTATACGATGCGCCGAGTTAACTCGGTAACTCGGTAAAATTTATTTTCTATCGATTATCGAGTTGGACAAATTCACTCGATTCACTCGAGTGAAATAAAACATAAGTAGTTGGAGTCGCATCATTATGGTAAGAACAAAACATGAACAAAATGGAGTTTTTTATTTACAAGCATTATTAAACTAATGTTTAAGAAAATATGGATATTATCAATTATCAGAAAGGTTAGCCAAATATTACTTGACACAAGTACGTATGTTTTTCTCTTTTTAGTTTTTGTGGTAAAATTCGCAAATAGAATATAAGAGTTTATTAATTTACACCTATTCTAGGTCGTGAAAATCTATTATGTTTGTATATTTTACCTCAAACAAATACAAATAATAAACAGGTCTTAGAACCTTATTAGTTTGTTAAAAGTGACAAAGTATTAAGTTTATTTTATTAGTAAAATCTAAATTAAATAATAGATAGAAAAAATGCACAAAAGAAGTTATTATAATGTTAAAAGAAAATTAGAATCTTTGGGTCGAGGGACTTAAAAAAGGGTTTTCAAGAGCAATTCATATAACTGCATTTGTGTACAAATAGGTACCTTATGTATTCAGCAAGTTGCTTAATACTAAATGGCTTTTTTGTTAAGCCAGACACAGATCCTGGATTTATACCAGCCATAGTAGATAGGCAATATAAATGTTACATATATTTATGTGTAAAAAATGTAGTAATTATTTGTACTAGAAGCAAATATAAAGTTTAATAATAATAGTTTGCATAAAAAAGTGTAATGGTTGTATCTATTATGCTTAGACAGCTGTGTTGTTCACTGTGCAGAAAGGAATATTATTTTGTCATCTAGAATCAGATATACTTAATATAACAATAATATCTTTGTCTACTATGTAAGTACATGAAACCGGTAAAAATAAAATGTGAGACAACTTTTACATGGTTGAATATCATTGATGTTAATCAATAATTACTGCTTCTGTATTTGATCAGCTGGAGCTGATTAATGCTGTATAATTTATAATAATTTCTTTATTATTTAACATATGAAAAGGCAGATATAAGAAAATGCTCACAGAAATATGTAAATACAGTTTATTGACATTGAAGGCATAGTCTTATCTCATATCTATTATTATTAAAAATGTCCTTTTAATTCCTATATAATATAGAAAAAAATAATATATTGATAAGAATTATTATTTAGTTAAGACACCTTTACAATTGTCATTAACTTCTTTTCAGGTGGATCGCTTAGAACAAATCTGTATGCCGTGCAGGCTGAAAGCTTGCAGAGACAAAAAGTGTATGGATATTGAAGACAACAGTCTTATATCATATATCTTATAATTGAAAATTCATTCTCATTGCTTACAATATCATAAATGTACATGTTTACCATCAAGTTATTTTCAAAAAACCTTCAGAAATATATCTAACACTAAAATGTTTCTACCTACGTCCGTTATAGACAAAACATAAGAAACCTTCCAACCAATTTAAATGAAAATGTTTGTGTGTGTTTGGATGGATCCCTAGATGGTTTATATTTACATTTGGACTCGGTAGATGGCACTGTGGTCGAGATCCATAAATCACCAGTGCACAGCTGAGGCGCATCGCTAGTAATAAATACATTTAAATTAAGCCTGTGTTTTTGTAATCCTTACACAAACAGTTTAAAACATCTTACTTCCTCACTATTTATCATTGTGTAATAACATAGATAAGGCATGTTAATTCCTAGTCATTTTATTATGATGTATACTACTTACTAATCAACCAAAACATTTTAAATCTTGACCCCGCTCCTGTCTATATATGTCAGTCAATCATCAAAGTTCAAAAAATTTATTAAATTAAGTTTGTATAAAAGGGGTTATTATAGTATAAAGGAATTTATGGCTGACAATAACCCGTGGGTAAGGTGATCGCTACCAAGCTATTTCTAATTTGTTCTTTGTTGTTAATTATGACATACATGATTGTAAGCTGGCTTTTTTTTAAAAGACCCACTGGGTATTTTGCTGGTTATCTTCAAGTCAGGGTTTTTTTCCGAACCAGTGGTAAATTAAAAAAGTGACTTTCAATAAGTATTATTTATAATCTAAATTGAATAAAAGGTTTTCTGTTTCTGCACCTACTACTGTTAATACATTACTTAAATAAATTATGATTTACAATAATAGATAGAATTACCTACATTATATTTTGTTTTTTTGTAATACAATCAGTTTAAAACGTATCTTACTGTGTGTTGGTAATATCATAAATATAAATAGGCATTATCCCTTAGCCATCTTGGTATTTAGAATTACACTCACAACCAATCAATACAAGTCAAAGTTAGAATCTATACGACATTTGTGCATAGACAGGCACTATGTTTTCCCCGAACTAGTGAAAGGTTTTACATCGATTTTAAAATATTTATAAATGCTGAATATACCTACAGCTTAGTTTTATATGTACTATTATTCAAGTGTGCACTATTTTAACTTATAATACCGATGAATACTACTAGAAAATGGCTTTCAGTTTGTTTTAGGTTATTATTAGATTCATATTTTATTTGTTAATTTCTCAGGACTCCGTTTAGATGCAGTAAAACTAATAATTTTATTGTAATATATGGATTATAAGGAATAAATCGACATGGATTTCATTGATTATCTTTAAAATTTGTAGTGGGCCCATTCTCCATAGAAAAATTGATTGTCTCCTTTACCTACAACTTCACAAAGTGACGCATGAAAAGAAAATTAAAGAAAAAAAGTAAAGAAGTTTTAAAACAATTAATTATAAAAAAATAATTTGTTATTTGATACTGGAAAAAGTACGAGTACATTACTAAAGAAAAATAGGGGTGTGGCTGTGTCGTGGATACGACCGTGTGTTTTACGTGAATACGAGTACGTACCTAACGAAACGACCTCAAAATGGCGGTGCTCCCCATTTCGAGCCTCGTAATGTGTCACAATTGTCACTTAACATAACCTTTTTTTTAAATCTTTAGTGGTGTAATCAAACATTGGATGTGCATATGTATCTATATATCTGTCATATGTAGGTAATTGCAAAATCAAATTTTATCTCTCAATTTTGTTATCATCAGTTTTCTGAATCAGATTAAAAGAAAAGACGCTAAAGATAAAATTATATTATTTTATCCTCGTGATCCTGATATTAGGGTACTTCGATGAAGTTTTTGTATTATTGTATTGTTATTCGTCCTTGATACAAGTGCAAATTTTTAAATCGGCCGTCTACAAGTTGGTGAAAATTACACTAAACAAACGACGGGTTGCAGTCCGGGAGTGCCGCCAGAAGTGAAAACTCGAATATTAACGTTGTGCATATTTGATATTTTGGGATTAGGGAATAATTTTGCACGAATTGCTTTAATTATCACACACGAACATTCGCGCAAGCGCCCTGCGCCGCTTAAACGAAACAGCAGGCGCAGGCATACATTTTCGCCGCTTCATACATACTTCCTCTCCTACGCCGCGCCGGCCGTTTCTCTCTCTCTCTCTCTCCATCCGTCTTAAGAATTTTCGATCAGGGTCACGTGTCCTGACGCGAGGTTAACTTTTATACCCATTACAAAAAGTGTACTACGCGGCTAAAGAAGTTTTCACTTCAAAAATTTAGCAACATAATTAAGTTAAAATAAAACATAATCCTGCCCCTTGGATAACTTCGGCTTTAAAGCGCTCATGGCACGTAGAGACAAGGCTAAAAGAAGATACAAGCGATTTCCGCTGGAGAGTAATTTAACAAATTATAAGACCCTACGCGATCGGTGCAACCGTTTGTGCAGAGATGCAAAAAGACATTACTTTTATAATTCTCTAACTAAATGTGATCCCGCAAAAGCCTGGAGATTTCTTAAAACTGTTGGTGTTGGTAAGTCACGAACAGTTTTAAGTGGAGACATAGACTTAAATATTCTTAACCAACATTTTTCTTGGCCTCCTGTCTCTATCTCTACGCATGATAAAGCTGGGTCAATTTTAGGATTGGATAAGCACCCAGTTCTGCAGTGTGACACATTTGGATTTGCTGTAGTCACTGAAGACGATAGCAACCGATCAATTTCAGCTATATCATCAACGGACACTGGAAATGACGGCATATGCTCCAATATGATAATGCCTATCCTCTCTTTTCTTCTTCCTGTTCTTACACACATTTTTAATTTCTCTTTACTTTCTTGTTGATTTCCATCTTCATGGAAATTAGCACACATTATCCCTATCCCTAAGATATCCAATCCTTCATCTCCCTTCATCTCCCTCTCACTTTCGTCCTATTTCAATCTTGTCATTTCTTTCTAAAGTTCTTGAACACATTGTCCACAAGCAATTTTCAGCATTTCTCAACAGAAATAATATCTTATGTCCATATCAATCTGGTTTTAGCTTTCTTCCTTTGTCTACTAAGATATCTATAGTCCAGACTCTTATATTGCCAATTTAGATTACGCTGATGTCTGCTATTTGGATGCTACCGAGGAGCAAATTAATAAACTCGAGCGCTTGCAAAATTTATGTATTCGATACATTTTTGGCTTAAAGAAGTTCGATCACGTCTCTGTTTATCGCAAGCAGCTTAAATGGCTCCCCATCCGCCTTCGCCGGAACAATCGAATCCTCTGTCTTCTTTTCAATATTCTACATAACCCTGATACTCCGCTATATCTAAAAACTCGCTTTACTTTTGTTCATCCTCCAGATGTTCCATGTAGATTAAATACTAGAACACTGTTAAGATTTCCGTCTTTCAATACAATGCTCTATTCTCATTTTTTTACTCTTAATGCAGTACGATTGTGGAATCACTTCCCTTTAGGATTCGTGACGCTAAGTCGGTGTCACACCATACCATAATGATTAATTCGGGATGTGTAGATATTCATATATGTAACATTAAAAACATAATATATTGAATTATATAATCTTTTTTCTTATAATATATTATATTTGTATTTTATATTTATTAAATATATATATATATATATATATATATATATATATATATATATATATGTATATGTGTGTGTGTATGTGTGTGTGTGTGTGTGTGTGTTTTTATGTAGTGTGTATGTGTTGTATGTACGTATGTGTATATATATGGAGGTTTGTAAATTTGTATTTTATTGTATATGTTAATAAAGTGCACACTTTGACTACTTCTATTTCCTTCAACTATCCTTCAATAGGCCTGCTGGAAGAAATTTCTTTATGAAATAAGCAGTGCCTTTGTACATAATTTTGTTTTTACCATTTTCCTATCAAAGTATGTGTGTACATAAACTGTTAAATAAATAAATAACATAGAGAGATAGATAGATAGACGCGAAGCTAATAAGAGCGTGTTAAAAAGCACCTGTTTGTTCTCGCCTTCCGTGGGCAGGCCGGACTCGGCCAGCGTGTAGTCGTAGCGCAGCGTGTGCGGCAGCAGCGCGAGCAGCGCGCCGGCGCGTGCCAGCTGCGCGCGGAGCGCCGCCTCCGCCGCCAGCGCCGCCACCGCCTCCGCGCCCGCGCACGCGCAATCGCCCAATTGCTGCAACATAACCACGCACACTACACACCGAGACGGAGACTAAGAGTGTGATCAGAGATTTTTTGTGTTCTGCGACGGGTTTTATAGAACTTAGCTACGCATGGACAGCATGGAGAGTCGTGGTAGCTCAGTGGCTAACCTCGCTGTAAATATAACAGAACGCGAGTAGGGTCCCACAAGTGTTAATTGCAATTTTAAGTGCTGATTTACCACGTGCTCGGCGGTGAAGGAAAACATCGTGAGGAAACCTGCATGTCTGAGGAATAAGAAAAAAAAATATTTCGAAGACATGTGAAGTTCGCGTTGGAACAGCGCGGCGGGCACTTCCTTGCCCTAAAACACTCTCAGAAATGAGGGGAGGCCTGTGCCCAGCAGTGGGACTTATATAGGCTGTAACTTTACTTTTACTTTACACTACACACTACCCTCCCACTTCACAATTTTTTTTGTTGTTGTTTTATTCAAACGAAAGGGTTTTGTCGCTAATGCAAGTATAACGCACAAAAAAACATTGTTTATTGCTATTAACTCATGGTAAGTGAATATTGTGCTCCATAGACATACATGTACATCCATCCTCAATTGAGAATTATAATGCAAATGCGTTGTTACCACTACCAACTAAGATATTATGCTTGGTTTCCAGTAAAAAGTTTCTCTACAATTACCATACAAAACACAACAGTGTGATCCTTCATCGGAAGTATAAAATTACTAATTTTCCAATTAAGCACAACTAAATAAAAAATTTATTAACTTAAAGTACGTATAAATATACGTGGCAGAGCCACACTGCAGCTACACTAACTGACCGGGGAAAGACCATGCTCTCACAGAATACCAGCGTAAAATAGAAGCTTAATACTGTTGTGTTTCACACAACGTAAGTGTAGAAATACGGAAACCCTATCTTACTGCAAACGTGGCATTCCGTCTTAGTCCTTAGGGGTGACAACGCATCCAATCGCGCAATCGCCCAATTGCTGCAATGACAACGCATCCACGTTTTGATTCTTAATCGAGGATTGTAGATGTTTATACGCTACAGCATCCACTTACCATCAGGTGGACTGTGTGCTCGGTTGTCAAATACATGGTGGGAACAACACCCGTTGAGAATCTATATGCAGTATATTGTGTATTCTAGGTGTATGACAGATTTAGCTGTGACTTGAGCCGCTCCTCCTTTACTGCGACCAAGTGGAAGAGATTGGCATTGGGTTGTCCTTGCTCAAAGATGATGATGAAAAGTATTCTATGTGAGGCCAAACCTGCGCCTTATAAAGTTACAGGTTGTGTGTCTGTTACTTTCCCGCTCTAAAAGCACACTAACCTTTTAAGAGGCTAATTTGGCCTTTTTTCTTAAGTGACCGCGGAAATGAACTTCATTCGATATATCGTTGTCGAGGAATTTAATGCTATCTAAGGTAACGTGGTGAGCGCCCCTAAATTGAGGAGATACCATAATGGGGTTCATTTACCGGTGAGGACGCAAACTTGTGTCTTCTGAGAATCGAACTGGACTAGACTTACTTCGGTCATAATCTGAAATTTTGTTTAACAAATATTTCGAGACTAGTTTAATTTCGGTACTTGACAAATTCTTCGATTTGTTATTCACTAATGACATACAAGATTGATCGATAAGTTATATTGTGATAAAGATGTTTATATATTTATATTTGTTATTTGATATTGTAAAAATAATAAAGCAATGAAAAACAGCTGTAGCGTTTGTTTCGGCGAAGCCATCATACTAGAAGAAAGGAATTTTATTTGATGTAAAATGAAGTCTATCCAATTTTAATGCATAATATAGCAGAATTGTGTACTTGTAGAGTTATTAATTTTTATAATTTAATTATTACTACTACTAATGTTCTTAAATTTTTACAGAATATAAATAATCTTCTATAAATCTTTTATGTAATTATGTTACATTATTTATGAAATATACTAAATTTTATTTGATGTAAAATGATGTAATGATTTTTTAAATTTACGCGAACACTACACATTGAATAAAACTAAATTTACGGATTTTATCGTGTTTATTTAACTGATTTTACTTATTTTTAATTCCCGGCGTTTCAAAAGCTTTACACAATTGTGACAAACAAATCCTCGCAAAAGAACATGGATTCCTACCAAGGAAGATACGCGAGGCTATTGAAATTAAAAAACATCCTAATTTCAATAGAGAAGATGGATGATTGCTGCCATCTGCTTGGAATCCTATAATTAACAAAATTAAACCCAAAACCAATACCACTGCAAGATTTCAAGATACTGTAAGCTCGTTTTGCTGGATCGGACCGAAAAATTAATATTAAAAAACTGAAGATAGCCGGACTAACTATAACATTGGGACGTCAAACATCTCAGTACCCCCCCCTCCCGTGACTATGGGTGTTGTAAAGCACCCGAAACGTCGGGAATTAAAAATAAGTAAAATCGGTTAAATAAACGCGATAAAATCGGTAAATTTAGTTTATTCAATAATATGATGATGATGTTAGGTGTTGTGGTGGTGGTTACCGGGCGGCGCAGCAGCGGCACGAGGTGCGCGGAGAGCGCGGGCAGCGCGGCGCAGGCGCAGCGGCCGGCGGGGAAGCCGGCGGCCACGGCGAAGCAGCGCGCGGTGGCCGCGCACACGGCGCCCGCCACGCGCCCCGCCGCGCCCAGCACCGCGCCGCACCGCGCCAGCGCACCGTGCAGCACCTGCGCACAAGCCACGCGCCGCACGTACAATACTCACATAACATATCTACATAGCACGTAGATTGCACATTGTACGAAATTCTCAGTAGCAGCCTGAAGTTAGGAAGTTGGCGGTGTTTGAAACAGAAACAGAAACTTTTTTATTCAATGTAGATTATAACAATACTTATTGGAAGTCACTTTTTTCATTTACCACTGGTTCGCAAATAAACCTCTGTCCTGGGAAGAACCAGCAAGAATGCATGTGTGTGTGTTTAACTGCCTCAGAAAGCACGTAAAGCCGTTGTTCCTGCGCTTGGTCTCTCTCCGTTCGTGTCAGTTTACTGTCCCATCTTAAATAGAAAGCACATGTGCTTGCGCATACACTTGGGCACTATAGTCCTGTCCTGCGCAGATGGCTAGTCTCCATTGAGACTGGCCGCCGTAACCGAAAGTCGGTCTGAAGGACATTAAACATTTTATACTTTTAAAAGACATCGCATTAACTATTCAAGTACTAAAACATATTTTTTTAGTTTCATATTTTCTTATGGGTGCCGTAAGAAGCGACAGAAGGAAACTAAAACAGAAGATAAATAATAAGATAGAAACTAGAACAGATTCAAATTTCCGTACATACCTACGAAATCGATTTACCTTTCTTAAATCCCCAGATACAGTTTGTAGATCTCACCTTAAAACTCTCTTAAAACTCCCATCCTTTAATACTCGATTCATATTTCCGTTCATTCTCCGTACAAGCAGTAAGACTCTGGAATTCGCTTCCTACTCACATTCGAGAAATCAAAACAGTGACATTGTTCAAAAAACGAGTGAAAGAATTATTTATCAAACATTATTTATCGCTGTCTTCTGTGTAAGTCTCAAATCTCTGATATTTACTATACTGTTACAAATATATGCATGTACATATATGTATGTATGTGTGTGTATATATGTTTATATATTTAATTATGACTTTATATTATATTAAGTATTTATGTATTTATTAATGTTTGTTAAAATATGAATATATTCATGTATTTGTATATATATATATATAATAAGTATTTGAGCTGACGTATATATTTAATTTATACCCATATGTGTTGTATAATAACAAAGTGCACACCTTATAATCATTTAGTAATCATATGTGTTTGAAACTGGCCTACTGGAAGAAATTTCATTGTGAGATAAGTAGAGCCTTTGTACAAACTTTTTATCATGATGTGTCCTCTCCCTAACTTGTGTGTACATAAATTGTGAAATAAATAAATAAACAGAAACAGAACAACATCTTCCTAATAGCAACTCAAAACCATTAGAGTCTCCAGTTGCCAACCCGCCTGCCAAGTGTAGCAATCATAGCAAAATCCCCCATCCATGAGACAATCTATGAGAGAAGCCTATGTTTAGCAATAGACTGTACAGGATGTGATGCATGATGACTACCTACCAAATGCTTCTCCATTCGCTATTCTTATTCCATAAAAGAACGGTGACCAACCAGAAGCATCAGTCTACATTCGATAAGAATGAAATATTCAACTAGATGATTCTGAATTGTTCGTTTGCATATTTCAAATATTTTAAAATTATATTGTATTCACTTAATTTTGCTCTAAAAATGTTTATAATGTATAAAGTAGTAGTTGCGCCCATGTTAATGCGCCACTAACTATAAATCTTCTAAAAAAATGCGTCAAATAAATCCAAAAACAACGTAAGCGCAAAGCGGCTCACGGTGCGTATACGTGTGTATGTGTGCATATGTATGTGTGCATGTACGTGAGATTGTGAGCGCACCTCCAGGCCACCCTTATGGTGCAGCTCCTCCGCGTTGAGCGCGGAGCAGCGCACGATGCGTGTGTATCTACATATGTATGTACGTGTATATATATGTAGGAATGGAACGTAAGTTAATGGAGTGGAAACGGAACGTAAGTGTGTGAGAAGGAGGACGTGAGGTGAGAGAGAGAGGGAGGAAGGTGGCCTTTTTCTTTTTTGAAACGAGGAAGGGAAGCGTGCGTGACTTAAACTAAAAAAGGTGTTAAAAAGTGAAATTAAAAGAATATATTGATTATTCTCGATTTTGTTAAGAGTTCTTCCAAAATCCCACACAATTTTGGTGTCAGAAGTGGGATTGTCTCAAAATAAGTGGGATTTCAAGTTACGACGGCACGTGGTCACGGCGTGCAGCGGTACCAGCGCAAGGCGGCGACGGTGCAGCACATTAAAGTAAGAAGGTGGTTCTCCGATGGGAGAAAATAACGACGTTAACGAAGTTAAGAAGACTACAGCTCAAGACGCGCTGCAAGAAAAGGCTGTAAAAGATTCACAAGACGTAAAAATGGCGGCGGAAGGCTTTTCAAGCATGGTGGACAGCATCGTGAAGTTTAGCGGTGATGATAAGACTTATTCGTCAACAAAGTGGGCTCAGGACATCGAAGACAATAAGGAGGTTTTTAGCTGGACAAATCAGCAAACATTAATAGTAGCGAGAAGATCCTTGACAGGCACGGCTGAACTGTGGCTACGATCAGAAAAAGTTTATAAGACGTTCGAAGAGCTCAAAACAGCACTACAGAAAGAATTCCCTGACTCACTTAACGCAAAAGAGATGCACGAGTTAATGGCGTCGCGCAAGAAACAGCGGGACGAAACTTGTTATCAGTATATGCTGATTATGAAGGAACTGGGCAAAAGAGCTAAATTCCCAGACTACGTCTCGATCCAGTACATCGTTTGTTATGAAAAAATGAAGACGAAGATCGTTCCTGAAAAACAAAGAAAGTCATCCATATCATATCTAGCGACTTCATCGTCGGGTTCAGTAAGTCGGCAGCAACCTAATAATAATAAAAGATGTTATAAGTGTGGCGATCCAAGTCATATTTCAACAGCGTGTACGAATGGAACGAAATGCTTCCGGTTAATAAGTTCAGCCATATTGGTACACAGTGCACGAACGAGCAGAGCAGCGGCGTTGCAAACATGGGCGAATCGTCGGTTAAGCAGTTTCGCGAGTATCGCGTAAGCGGCCCGGTAGAGAAAGGAAGACAACAAATGTCGGTAAAGCAGAGTACGGCGGAAGCGCAACGACAATCGGCCATGTTCGGACTTTCGGCCAATAGAAGAGCGGGCACTGCGGGACGCCATGACAGCTGCAATATGGCGAACGAGAACGACGACTGGCGAGATGTAAACAAACACGAAAAGCAACAAAATACGCCGGTTAAATTAATTAAGTTGTGCGGAATGGACATGGACGCGTTAATCGATACGGGCAGTCAAATTAATCTGATGGCAAGTGACGTGTATAATGAACTGAACGTGGACAAGTGCGCAGATAACACGATTTTAGCGGGACTCGGACTGTCAAAAATAAAATCGGGTGGAAAGTTTTACGAAAGTGTTTCGATCGACGGAAGATGTTACGACGGGGTTATTTTTCACATCGTACCTAAAGACTGTATGCCCTATAAAGTGATTTTAGGTCAGGAATTTCTAAAAAATGTTGTCATGGTTATGCGTGAGGGTTCCGTATTGTTGTTACCTAAAGGTGAGGAATGGTTGACGAGAGTGAATTGTTGTGTGAGTGAGGTTGATATTGCAGGTCACATCCACGACGATGGCATTAAGGCAGAGGTGGAGCAGCTCGTGACGCAGTATAACCCGGTCCAGACGAAAGAGGCGCCTATCGAACTCAAGATTATACTTAAAGATGACATCCCAGTGGCGCAGCGCCCAAGAAGACTTGCCTTGATGGAACAGAAGATAGTGGAGGATCAGGTAGACGAGTGGTTACGCAAAGGAATTGTTCAGGTGAGTTTCTCTGAATATACTAGCCGTGTAGTCCTTGTAAAGAAAAAAGATGGTTCAGCTAGAGTATGCATTAACTATAGGCAGTTGAATAAGAAGATGGTTAAGGATGAATTTCCCTTACCATTGATCGAGGACTTAATTGATAAGTTGAAAGATGCTAAGGTGTTCAGTGTCCTAGATCTTAAAAATGGTTTCTTCCATTTAAGAATGAGCAAGGAGTCCATACCCTTCACATCGTTTGTCACGCATCATGGGCAGTGGGAATTTCTTAGAGCACCATTTGGTCTCTCCGTATCGCCGAAGTACTTCATGAGGTTCATCACCATCATATTTAGGGACTTGATACAAGAAGGTGTTATGATGATATTCATAGACGATATTGTTATTCTAGCGCAGACGGAGGAAGATGCTGTACAGAAATTAAGACGAGTGCTGGAGGTGGCTGCTGAGTATGGACTTGAAATCAACTGGAAGAAGGCGAGGCTGATACACCACGAGATTAAATACTTGGGACATCTGGTCAAAGACGGGCAGGCACAACCCAGTCCGGATAAGATTGAAGCAGTCGCACAATACCCCGAGCCTGTGAATGTCAAACAGATCCAAAGTTTTGTCGGGCTGACTTCCTAATTTTAGAAAGTACATAAGAGGCTATGCACAGATAGCAAGGCCGCTAACAGATTTGATGAGGAAAGATGTGAAGTTTGTTTTCGGGCCTGAAGAGCGACAAGCGTTCAACATTTTGAAGCAGAAGCTAACGAGTGAACCAGTACTGATGATTTTTGACCAGAAGCTGCACACAGAACTTCATTCAGATGCATCTAGCATAGCTCTAGCCTCTATTCTCATGCAGAAAAATGCAAAAGGAGAAATGCACCCTGTACATTATAGGAGTAGAAGGACGAATGACATTGAAAGTTGTTATTCAAGCTATGAACTTGAGGCACTCGCAGTAATAGAAGGTGTGAAAAAGTTTCACCATTACCTCTTTGGCAGGTACTTTAAGATTGTCACAGACTGTGAGGCATTTGAGCTTACCTTGAAGAAGAAGGAGCTAACACCAAAGGTGGCCAGGTGGGTATTACTTCTCAGCGAGTATGACTATGATATCGAACATCGAGCGGGATGCAGGATGCCACACGCAGATGCGCTCAGCAGAATCCCATATGTAGCTGCAGTGGTAACATTGCACGAGAAGATTAGCCAGGCGCAAGAAAGAGATGAAGACCTCAAGACGATAAAACAGCTGATTTTGACAGATGGCCAGTATAATGACTATTATGTGGAACAAGGAGTGCTTTACAAAGGTGATCAGAGACAACTGGTGGTCCCCAAGCTAATGGAAAAAGAAGTAATCAAGCAAGTACATAGCAATGGTCACTTTGCTATGAAGAAAATGAAAGAAGCAATAAGCAAAGACTATTTTATAAAGAATATGGACAGAAAAATCGAAGAAGTGATTACCAGTTGCATACCGTGTCTGCTAGCAACCCGGAAAGAAGGCAAACAGAAGGGATATTTAAACCCTATTGGAAAAGAAGGGACTCCGCTGCATACTTTGCATCTGGACCACGTCGGACCGCTAACTGAGACACGAAAAATGTACAATCACATACTCACAGCAGTTGACGGATTTACTAAATTTGTGTGGCTGTACCCCACAAAAACAGCAACTAGTGCAGAAGTAATAAGTAAGCTACAGTTGCACCAAGAGACGTTTGGAAACCCTGTACATATCATAACAGACAGAGGCACAGCTTTTACCAGTGGAGCATTTACGTTTGAATTTGAAGTACTGCGAAGATGAAGGTATACAGCATGTCACCATTACAACCGGCATACCAAGAAAGAAATGGCCAAGTAGAGCGGGTTCATCGGATAATAATACCCATGCTGACGAAACTGTGCATCGAAGACCAGTCGCTATGGTATAAACATGTTGGACGTGTGCAAAGAGCAATCAACAGTACTTACCAGAGAAGCATAGACACCACACCGTTCCAACTGCTCATTGGAACCAAGATGAACTGCAAGGAGGATGTAGAGATATTAAATTTGCTAGTCCAGGAAACTATAGCGCAATACAGTGAAAGCAGAGAAAGTTTAAGGCAGAAGGCCAGAGACCAAATTCAAAAGATACAGGAAGAAAATAGAAATACCTACAATAAGAAAAGGAAGCAGAGCTCTCAGTATGAGGCGGGAGATCTCGTCGCAATTAAAAGGACACAGTTTGGGCCAGGGCTCAAGCTGAAAGCGAAATTCTTCGGACCCTATAAGGTAGTCAAGGTGAAACGCAACGACCGATACGATGTTGTGAAGTTATATCAAGGCACAGAGGGGCCGAACAGTACAGCGACATCTGCAGATTTCATGAAGAGATGGCCTGAAGAAGATGACTGCGAGTAAAACAGGTATTGGGTAATAATATTTGTTCATAATTTTTTTTGGTTGTTTCAAGGTGTGAAAGTTTGAGACTGAATTATTAATACTAGGTAAACTTGATACTTATTATTTTTAAGGTGGAACCCTCAGTGTAGTATTACGAGACCTCATAAAGCTGTAATAATGTAATATCTTAAGGTTCAGACTATTATGTAATTTCTTTTTGTATTGTCAAAGATAAACAGATCTCGCAGAGCACTATAGTGTTATATTAAGTCTAAGATGTATAATTTCTTTTTGTTTTGATAAAGATGCAAATAAGTTTTCGTAACTTTCAGCAAGTGTACGAGCTTTTTATTTTATGCTGTTACTTATGTCATATTATCTCATACTTGTATTGGATGTGTTTAGTAAGTTGTAGAAATGCAAAGAGTCTATCTACATTGTTGACTAGTGTCAGTAATTGTTTAATTTTTTTTAAAGTGCCATGAAAGATGTAATGTTTACTTATTCTGATGTATAATGCAGGATATGCATAGTTTAACTGTTTCCTCCAACAGAAAATAAACATGGCAATGGTTAAAGTTTATTGTGTAATGTTAAGATTCTAGGCACTAGAGATGTTAATGTTAAATGTCTTACATCGTGTAAGATGAATGAATGATGAAAGAGGGAGAAGAGCATATCTGGGGCAGATATGAGATGCAGGATGACCGAAATGGAACGGAACGTAAGTTGATGGAGTGGAAACGGAACGTAAGTGTGTGAGAAGGAGGACGTGAGGTGAAAGAGAGAGAGGGAGGAAGGTGGCCTTTTTCTTTTTTGGAACGAGGAAGGGAAGCGTGCGTGACTTAAACTAAAAAAGGTGTTAAAAAGTGAAATTAAAAGAATATATTGATTATTCTCGATTTTGTTAAGAGTTCTTCCAAAATCCCACATATACTTGTGCATGTTCATGTGCATGTTCATGTGCATGTACGTGTGCATGTACGTGTGCATATAAATGTGCATGTACGTGTGCATGTACTTGTGCATGTACGTGTGCATGTACGTATGCCTGTACGCGTGCGTGTGAGCGCACCTCCAGGCCACCCTCGCGACGCAGCTCCTCCGCGTTGAGCGCGGAGCAACGCACGGTGGCGAGCGCCAGCTGGCAGGCGGCGGGCAGCAGCGCGGCGTCACTCTCGCTGAACAGCTGCTCCGACTCCACCTCCAGCCGCGCAGTGCTTAGCAGCTGCGGATAGCCCGCGTACTTGTACGGCTCCAGCACTGTGTCAAAGTGTACACTCTTATAATGAAAAATAAGAGAAGACATAATAAGGATATAAGTAACAGTGAGGTAGCTGACCCTAATAACTCTGTTGAGAAAAGAGGGTGAGTTGTTACAGCGAAACCTTCCCTCACTCATTATAGCCTATCAAAAGTCCACTGTTCCCCCCCCCCCCTAAAGCTGAAGTCTCCTCCATAGTTTCCCTCTCATATTTGGTTGGCAATCACCGTATTTGTTATTTTGAGTTATTAACAGAAAGATGCTGCTGGCCTTCTCGTGTTTCATTTCCTTCTGTCACCGTTTACATCACCAATAGGATTATATGGCTATCCCACATAATTCTATAAATTATCATACGCTGCCACTATACGCCATATATGGGAGTTGATGTTATGATTGACGTTTTTGACGTATATAAACCCTAGTGTAGACCGTCGTTTGTTCTTTATTTTACATAAAAGTACATATTCGTTTATAAGTACATAATATAAGTTCAAAATTTACCAACCATCAGAATATCTTTCGAATAATATAGTCTGCGTCCGCAGGATAAGAAGAATATTGTTTGTATTAGGCCCGTCACCGGTCCATGCATTTCTGCTGCATAGAAACTCATACGCTTGGTTGACCGCTTCAAAACGATCCTGAAATAATGAAAAATAGAAATAAAACTGATATGATAGCTATTAAAGCCCGCGTAGGGCTAACTTTAACAGTCCCACTATGGAGATACTACCTGATAAATCAACACGGGTAGACTAAATAGTGACTCCGAATTTTCGAGCTCAGTGATGACCGGGAAACATCGACAGTTACGATAAAACTGCATAGAAATATTGACTAAGACTCACCCGTCCCTCGGGGTTCTTATCAGGGTGGTACTGGTGTGCGAGGCGGTAATATGCTTTACGCACGGCTGCCTCATCGTGAGAGCCAGCATCCAAACCCAGCACAGCGTAGGCGTCGCTCACTGTCATGGACGGCGCCTTCTTTTCTACTTCTCGACGCCACGCCTCTAGCACGTCCTTTAGGAGACCAACCTGGAAGTACGATGATATTAAGAGTATATGTTATTATGCTATTCATTAATCACTTTGTTGGCAATATTTTAAGATTCTTTGAAAACAATCTTTATGCTAAAACGTTGTGATTATAAACTCTTTGCTCTGTCCGACTGTTAGGCTATGGTTTGATAATAGCACTATGAACTTAAACGAGCAATAGATTAAATATTATATGTTTGACAATGTTAATTTTATTCCATTTTATGTATTTGTAACTATAATGTATAATATAGTAGTTACATAATATTCTTAAATAATATAATTATGTATAAAATTTTCGTTTCTGCGCTCCTTTCTCATATTAACTTTAACTATAAAAAGTTTATAAGCTTAAAAAAGGGGCTACAAATTAAGACTTAAAAACTTTAAAAATTTGTAATAATTTCCCCTTTAAGTATTAATATATAGATATGTAAAGTGTATAGTTTATATCGTGTAAGTGGTGGCGCACTGACCGGGTCAGGCACGGGCCAGTCGGGGAAGCGCGCCGTGTCGCACAGGTGGCGCAGGTAGAACATGTTGCAGAAGAGCTCGCGCTGCAGCTGCGGGTAGCGGACGGCCGGGATGGCCAGGTACGGGTAGCGCGCCGCCACGTGCGCGCGCAGCCGCGGCGTGAACTCGCCGATGTGCGCCGACACCTTCATTATCAGCATGCGCCTGCGGAGCCGTTTCCATAACTCATTCCGCTTTATCGTCTCGGAATACCCTCTTATTGCAAGGACGAATCGCCTTAATCGCTACGTATTGTAGTAAAGTAAAAAAGAGCAGAAAGGTTACCTCCCATTTCTGAGAACATTTTAAGGCAAATAAATGTTTGCCGCACTGCACCAATGTGTGCTGATTTCACATATTTTTGTTTTTTTTTTTTCAAAAATTTCTAAAACATACAGATTACACTATTATAAAAACTTTTAACTTAAAAAAAATTTATAACATTATATCGACCTATTCTATTCTATTGGCTTTTAAAGGACAAGGAAATATTCTTAAAGAAAAAATATCTTAAACAATCCAATAGGACAGATTTTCTTATTCATAACACCAACAAAAAAATTTTAATCTATGGACGTTACACGTGATCTTTGTTTTTTCCACGTTCATCTTAAGACCTATCCATTGGGAGGCACTACTGAGGTCTTTGATGAATGAAAATGAAGATCACCAAAGTTAAAAGTTTAATTAAAGTAAAATAGTTATAAAGTTAGATTGGCAAATCTTTCCTTGAGTAGTTGGTGTTTAGAAGGACGGTTGTTGACGTACTGCCGATTGTCAGTTTGTAATTAAATAGGTAAATTTAAATACACGCGAAGCCCGCGGCTAAAAGTAGGTTGCAACGTTTACTAAATAAAATTTGTGGTGTAAACATACATATTGGCCACCCGAAAAGCAAGGAAACAAAGTTAAGTCTCAAGAATTAAAGTTCTAATTAGTTTCTATTAATTAAAAAAAAAAAGTAAGTAAAATAAAAAAAAATAGTAGTAATTTAGTTCTAAGTAGTTCTAATTAGTAAAGTTTTAATTATCAAAATGGAATGTGACGTTGTCCGCCGCCGCTGTCATTACAGTAGAGGGCGCGGGGTGCAGCTGCGGCATGGGCGCCTGCTTCGGCGCTGCACGCGTAGATATAAAGTCTGATATAAAGTTACCCTTCCTTACACCTCTTTGCAGTTAGACAGGTTTTGTGCTCCGATTCTGTACTCGAACAGCCATTGTAGCCCTACTGTACAAACACTTCAGCACTTCGAAATACCGACAACACTGCAGCATCGCCCAATTTGAACAAAATCAAAGGCTTTTTCATAGTCCACATAGGCCAGGCAAAGTGGCAGATTGTACTCCTACGGTCTTCTGTACAATTTCCCGCAGCGTATAAATGTAGTCTAGTGTACTGAAGCCTTTTCGGAAACCGGCTTGTTCGGGAGGCTGGAAGTAGTAGAGTCTGCATGTGAGACGATTCGTAATGACTCTCGAAAGCAGCACGTAGACGTGGCTCGGAAGAGAAATCGGTCTGTAGTTAGTCAAGAGAGCGTTGTTGCCTTTTTCGAAGAACAAGTCCACCGCAGATCTGCTTCACGCCTTACAAGTAGTGCCACCATGGAGGACGTCAAGTACCGGTATTCCACCCGCTTTCAGAAGCTCCGCTGTAGTTCCATCCTCGCCCGGGGACTTGCCGTTCTTAAAGGTATTGGAGAGCCTTTTTAATCTCGCTCAAACTGACGCCCGGAATATCATCGGGAAGTGTCGGATAAGACTTGGTCTCGGATCATTACTCACACTTGTGTATGGCTTCAACGATGATGGGTACAGCTAACCGTAGAACCTCTCAATCTCATTTAAAATTTCAGGTGTCCTGGAAATGATGATGCCACATTCAGTCTTAAACTTCTACAGTTGGCTCTATCTGGCAGACAGATCTCTGGCAAAGACTTTGGAGCCCTGGTTCCAATTATTATTTCTGGTTCCGAAATTCAATACGAGCCGTATTGAAGTTGAGTAAGTCCTGCTACATGCATTTGGATATCTGTCTGTTCAGTTGCCTGTATGCCGTAAAATCTGACTATAACTGACGCTTCATGATCCGTCTAACGTTCATAAGATTATTATTGTGATCGGAGAGTTTTTGTGTTCATCTGCGGTGGGTCTTGCAGAACTTAGGTCCGACCGCATGGAGTTTTCACGAGCTCCATACACATCGCCCACTGCATTGCAGTCTTCTAGGCACTGAAAACGACTTTGTAACTCGAGCTGAGTTTTTCAGTCTGTGAATTAGAACACGAGTGGGCGTTGACTTCATTAGACGTGACCTCTCAAACTTAACGTTTAGGTTCAGTGTGCCTCTCACCATTCGGTGATCGCTGCCAGTTTTCATCCTCGCGATCACTGAAACATCACCAAACAGTTGCCGGCTAGTCGTCATAATGAAATCGATCACATTTTTTGTCAAGCCGTCGGGGCTCGACCAGGTCCACTTATGTAGGGGCCGCTTCTGGAAGAGAGTTCATCATAAAGAGACCTCTATCTCCATAAAGTCGGCCAGCTGCTGGCCCCTTGAATTCCATTGCCCTATCCCAAATTTCCCTACCTTCACTCACCGTTCACTCTTGCGTCTAGTTTTGCGTTGAAGTGCTCGTCAACGCACTCCCAATCTTTACAACGTCGTTAACGAGAGACTTGCGGACGATAAATCCGACACGTCCTTGGAACAGATAATCACCCTTTCGATGATAGAACAAGTTGCCGGATTCGAAGATTACGGTGTCCTAATCCTCGCTTCGAACCTCGGATAATCTTATAATATTCCAGCGCAACTTGCCTATCTTTTGTTCCAGTTTGATCAGGATCAGTCAGTTCTCAGGGTGTGTGCATTGAATGTTGCCAGGTCGAGTCGTTTTAGGTGGCAACCGAACCTCCAGCGAGACTTTAGCTCATATCTATTTAAATGCCAAGTTGCTGTAACGAAAAACTTACTTGAGCGAATAAAGAGTTGCGACGATAATTATTGTTAGCTCTGGGTATTGCTAGAGGTTGGGTAAGTCGTAGGTAAGTATAGGTAGGTAATTTCCGTGGTAACCAGATGTTGTTCTTGCTCTAATAAGGAAGGGCAGTCTAGGAGATAACTCACAATTTTTAACAGACACATGTTTGATATATGCCGTCTTCAGTGTAGGGAAAAAGTGATATCTTCTACACCTTGTCTCGTATCCACGATCTACTCACTTTAATTTAAAATTTAAATATCTTAGGAATCTTTTGGTATGGATTCAATGCGGGAAATATGCACGTTAGATTGCGGATTCCAGACCACAGAGACATATTCATGGATATTACGCATATAGATCATTATAGGTCATTTGAAAAGAAATTAATTAGGTTTTTGGTTTTAAGCAATGTTCCTACCTCCTTGAAATTTATATCCATATCACTTATAGTAAATCTTTTCTGGTATTGACTGTCAAGGGTTTAGCGTTAGGAATAAGGAAAATAGATTAAAATATTCAGTAAATAAATTACAAACAGATTCAACCGTATCCCCAGATTTATCCTCATATTTCGTCACAGATGGTAGCGCATGTGAGGATCTGTTTAATTACTTTGTATAAGGCCAAGACAAGTGGGGATTATTGACAATTGAGTCTCCAACTTTACTTACGTATAATTGATTATTTTGTAACTCTCTGAACCGTTATCTGAGTAGTGCGTAAGTTTTGTTATCGTACTGGTTACCATGCCTGTGTTCCGAAATAGAACCCAGTATACTAGCGAATGCAAATGAAATCATTAACCAAATTGTACTGGCGTGCCGCTGCCGTTACCATGCCTGTGTTCCGAAATAGAACCAAGTATACCGGCGAATGTAAATAAAGTCATTAACCAAATTGTACCGGCTTGCCGCGGCCGTATTGTGTCAGACATGCCGCCATATTAAAACAATTTTTTATTGTGTGTACGCTGTATGAAGTATGGCAGAATTTGTTTTTATTTATTCAAATACAAAAAATGGCAGAGCTTAAACGGTTAAATCTGTGCGATGAAGAAAATGAGAAATCATACTTATTCTTTGTTACTGAGGAAGAGTGATCAAGAGCATGTATGATGTCATATACTGGCCAATGTTTAGAAACGAATCACCAGTATGGCGTCGATTTATGACGTCATTTGCATTGGCCAGTATACTGGGTTCTATTTCGGAATACAGGCTATATTTTTTAAAACTATTTTTTTAAATTCAAATGATATGATAGATACTAGAACGCCACTGAAGTCATAAAGAAGCAAATTTAAAGCTCTGAATTGCAACTAGCTTTGTAGTAGTGAAAACTAAAACAGAATACCAGCGTAAAATAGCAGCTCAACGCTGCTGTGTTTCGTATGGTGAGTGTAGAGAACCGGAGACCATTTTACTGGAAACGAGGCATTCCATCTTAGTCCTCACGGGGACAACGCATCTGCATTTTGATACGTAATCGAGGTTAGATGTAGATGTATATGGGTCACAGCAACCACTTACTATCAGATGGACTGTGTGCTCGTTTGTCGCCCTTAACCTATAAAAAATGTTATCACAGAAATACTATCGTGATAAGAAAGCAAGTCTTTAGCATGTTTACGTGGTAGAGCCACGCTGCAGCTATATTATGGTCGTATCACGAGTTAATCGGCTCAACCAGGAAAGGACGAACGCTGTCACAGAATACCCAGTGTAAAAAAAAATATTAGTGTAATGATTCTGTGTTTTGTTTAACAAGTGTAGAGAACCGGAGACCCTTTTTGCTGGAAACGAAATATTCCATCTTAGTCCTCAGACCTGAAAATGTAGAATAGATAAAAGCTGCCTGGATTGACAATGCAGAAAGGAAACTATCAATTTGTTAATTGTAAAGCCCCTTATTTATGTATGTGTTCATTTCCTAATCGTAGTATATTTGTACAAACAAAAACAATATTACCTCATTTCATTGTTCCAGATGGCCTCAGGTGTATCCCACTCTCCAAGGAATATTTGTGCAAACTTTTCAGCTCCATGATTTTCCAAGTAGCATACCATTGCTTCCGGTAGCAATTGTCCTAATATGGACCGCTGCATTATGTCCGAACTAGACTATAAATAAAACATTACCTTTTTATTCATTCAAAATTTTGCAATTTAAAATGTGAAGAAGTCTTAAGGCTATATCGCTTTTGCCATTATTCTTTAAATTCAAAGATATTGTAAAACAAAAATTTTAAATACAAGAAAAAATTAATGGCAACTTTGTACACAACGCCGCTGCTAAAGGATTAACGAGGTTTCCAAAGCGATTAATGGAAAATATCAAAATTACTAATAAAATTTAAACATACCTGATCAGCTCTAAACGCCTGCTTCATATGTGTGAGTCGTAGAAACCTCGCAATCGGTAAAAGATTAGAGCCCGTATACAATAACATAAAGTAAAATACGCCTGTTAAATATAATTTTGATATTTCTGGATTGTCTTGCATTACTTCATACAACAATGTTGCCACCTAAAAATACGATTATTTATTTAAAAATAAGAAAAGAAATACTACAAAGGCCAAAGATTTCAGGTTATTTAACTAACATTTTAACTGTTATCTAAATAACTAATAAACTAATAATAACTGATCGATGTAAGTAGAATATATAAAAATTTAATCACCTTTTCAACGAGAATAGGATCAAATGTTAACAAGAGTTGTACCACGTGGGCTAAACAAGATGGTTCGGATAATATTCGTTTTACTCGTGGCAGTGGTCTTATCACTGCATCTTCTTCATCTCTACAAAGAAAAAAATGTTTACAATATCTGAATCTCATATAAAAAAATCATTTCCTGAATTATAGTGTGTACAGCTCAGTAGAAGTACGGGTTTTTGCACTTGTGGGTGACAATTTCATTTTTATTGAAATACGCATGTGTAAAATTTATTGTATTTTAACCACTTTTTTAACAAATTAGACAGACAAATTTACGTACTTTTAAATATTTCAGTCATGATTTATAGTATGAATCTCTACAAATAATTGATTCAGGTCTGGTTGTATGTCCATGTGAAATTTATGTAAGATTTTTCAATCCTTAAGATAAAATAGCACAATAAACAAATAAACTGTTTCACATTTATATTCAGTCAAGTAACCTACAAAAATTGATAGGAATGGCATATCTCAACGTTGAATCACGCGACTATCATGAGACTTACCTTTGGTTTCATTCATTTACATAGTTTTCTTTTGGCGTTTACGAATACAGAAAGCGTTACAAGTGAGGTTATACTCCATCAAAACTAAGAAATACGTTTTTACAGCTGTCACATTTTTTGGACCAGGCATTCCAATTAAAAATGACCGATTTTAACTACAATATTCGATTCTTAAGAGATATCTATATCGTTTCTTTACAGTTGGTAATCATTTACAGTTTATCTAGATTAATACTAGAATAAATTAGAAGCAGATAACCGAAAACACAAAATTTATCAGCTTTTTCATATTTGTAGCTGAGTGCTAATTTCTTGCTGATTAAAAACAAATTTACTTAATCACTTTGTCTGTAACTAATCGTCGTCATCAGCGTTGTTTTTTTTTATTTTTTTTTATTTGCCGTTACGTTACATTACGTAACATTGGTACGTCAAAATTACAATTACAATTATATAGATATAATAATATAGTTAAAATTACAAATTATACAATTACAATAATATAATTAAGATACATCACAGTACATTATTTTATGTGTCAAACAAGTCAGAAAATGAACATTGCATATATTCTTCTATGTTGTAAAAAGCGTGATTTAAAAAGAATGTTTTTATCACTTGTCGGAACGCATTTAGCGGAAGTCTTGTTATTTCTATTGGCAATTTATTGTACATTTTAATTTTTATTGCAAGACCTTGCTTGAACACTTTGACTAATCTGGTTCTTGGAACAACTAATCTTTCGCGATTTCTAGAATTGTAGTTGTGTACGTGCTTCTTCATTGGTAGTTTACTTTTTTCCTGGTGCACTTCTAGAAGCGATCTATAAATATATAACGAAACGACAGTCATAATTTTCGCTTTTTGGAAATAGGCTCTAGCTGATGTCGATCTTTGCAATCCATGTATAATTCTAATCGACCTTTTTTGACAAATCAGTACTCTTTCAATTTGTGTAGCATTTCCCCATATCGTAATCGCGTAGCTAATAATTGAGTGACAATATGCAAAGTAGACGGATATAAGAGTTTTCTTGTCAATAATGGGCTTAAATAAAGCGTAATTAGCACTGGCTAACTTTTTACAGACGTTATCTATATGGGTTTCATAACTTAAAGTGGAATCGAAAGTACACCCTAAAAATGTGACGTCACTTTTTGTGACTTTATTTGTTTTTTTGCTTGCATAATTAATAATGATACTTTTTTCTGCATTCAAAATTATTCCGTTTGTTTCAAACCAATTTTTAAGCATATTTAAAATATCATTTGTCTTCTTGGATACTTGGACTGCATTTTTATCTAAAGATAAAAATATTTATTATTATTTTTATCTTTAGATAAATTTTATTATATTTAATAAAAATATTTTTATCTAAAGATAATAATATATTATTACACTATTCGCGGATGATACACAGGTTGGTGTTAAAACACCAACCTGTGTATCATCCGCGACTAGTGTAACCATCGCCCAGTCAGGTAAATTATTTGCAAGGTCGTTCACATACACTAAAAACAGCAATGGTCCCAGGATAGAGCCCTGCGGAACGCCAATGTAACTATGTTGTGAATCAGACTTAGTATTATTTAAATTAACTATTAGCGTTCGATTGTTAAGATAAGACTGCATTATTTTCAATTGTTTTCGTTCAAATCCGTAGAATTTTAATTTATGAATTAAGATATCATGCCTCAGACAATCGAACGCCTTAGATAAATCGCAAAAAATGCTAGATACCTTCTGCGATCCATCCAAAGCGTCCAATATAAAGGATACTGTTTTTCTAATAGCCATTTCCGTTGATCTTTTTTTTGCGAAAACTGAATTGACAGTCTGTAAATAGATTATTTTTTTCAAAGTAGTCTAATATCCTACATTTTAAGACAGTTTCTAAAATCTTTGATATAACTGGTAATAAACACACCGGTCTGTAATTACCAATTTCAATAGTTTGTCCTTTTTTTGAACTGTGGCACAATTTTTCCTATTTTTAAGCTATCTGGGAAAATTCCTTCTATAATGCAATCATTCAAGACTTCCAATATTATATCAAACATGTCTTTGTTGTGGATGATAAGTTCTCTAAGAGTTTTTGTTGACATATCGTATATGTCTCTAGACCTTTTACATTTTAAACTATGAATAATATTCCAAAATTCAGAATTATTTATTTTATGAAAGCGAATTTTATTATTTATTGGGTTTTTTTAAATATTTGCTACACTTTTCAACCTTAACCTTAAGTTTACTTACCTTAAGCTATATTGCAAAAGAACTCATTGAAACTGTTTGCCATATTTTTATTATTTGTAATTATGTCCCCACAGTGATTTTTAATTTTAGTAATTTTATTTATTCTTTGTGTTTTAACATGATTTTTTTGTTCCTTAATAATTGTCCAAGTAGTTTTAATTTTATTCGTGGAATTTTTAATTCTAGACGCGTTCCTAAGTTTTTGGGCTGTTTGTAGTTGTTTACATTAATTACTATTAGACTTTCTATAATTCATTCAAAATGAACGTCTCTTTCATCGTCCATATCAATTTTCTTTGTTGTGTCCATCACCCAGTCATCCCTTGTGTATTTTCTACAAATTCTCCTCCGGCGGATCCCACATGGCAAACTATGAGCCGCCTAACTTTTCCTTAGCCACGTGTCATCGCCAGTACATGTCTGCGGCAAGGTGTGGTCGGCGTTTATCTATGTTTGATAAATGATTATAACGTTGTCCAAATAAGTTATATTTTTAATTTCTCGTAAAAATGTTACTCTTTGCATTCAAGTACCTAAATAATAATTTTACGTTTGTTAATTTTTTTGTACGAAGTTATTGCGGAAAGTTAATGTGAAACGTCAAAATGTATTTATTAGATTTGGTTGAATATAAAAAACTTATTAGCGGTAAAACTCCCGCACTTGTTCAACAGCGGTTCACCATTGTTATGCGGATGACAGCACTGGTGATGCTCTGTACACCGGCCGTGCCAATATTTCTCGGGAAAACGTTATCCACACCCCGCCTGCTACTTTACAAGGCGCAGGTTCGGCCGCACATGGAATACTGTTGCCATCTCTGGGCTGGGGCTCCCCAGTACCAGCTCCTTCCACTTGACCGCATCCAGCGCAGAGCGGCTCGAGTCGTCGACGACCGAGTGCTATCCGATCGGCTCGATTCACTGGCGCTACGAAGAGATGTTGCTGCTGATGTTGCAGCCGCCAGATTTCGTGAACGGACTACGCGGCAAATGTCCCGATACCATCCACACCATCTGGATGCTTGGCGGTCCACCACTGTACGTTTCACAAGGAATCTTCTTCCGCGTACGATCTCTCTGTGGAATAGTTTACCACCGGCGATTTTTCCGGACCGATACAACCTGGGGACCTTCAAGAAAAGAGCTTGCTCCTTTCTAAAAGGCCGGCAACGCACCTGCAATTCCCCTGGTTTTACGGTTGATCATGGGCGGCGGTAGTCACTTAACATCAGGTGAGCCGCATGCTAGTTTGCGCCCTCTTCTATTTAAAAAAAACAGTATAAAGTACTGTGCAGGCAACAATCTTTGATCGTTCCACGGGTTATACTCGTCGTTTTTCTGTCTACCGTGGTAACTCTTTGAAGACAAGAAAGAAGTTGATGATGATGTTTCAGAATTTGCCTGCTTTGTCTTGTGTCGCATCGTGATGAGCGAAGTTGCTATTGATTTGCATCCCTCATTAATTTGGAGATATTATATAATATTTACTTCTAATTCCAATGTGTTCAATGAATATTTTATAAAGTCGATATTAAGTAAGTAACAAAAGTCAAATTGGTTTGCTCCGCTGAGAGGGATGTAGAGCAATTAGTCTGCTACGATTCTCTACCTTATTGATGGATTACATGTGAGAAGAAGCTTGTTTTCGATCATGGGGCCTTTATAATATGTTATAGACTACTGGTGCGTAACCGGGGGAGGTAGATTTTACGCCGCTACCACACGGCGAAGAGCCGCGTCTGTTATTTGGGCTTTGTCACCCGTTTAACACCAACGTGAAGGGTGGCCTAGGTTAGGTGATCAAAGCTTACGGAAACAGGGGCGACTCATCCCCGCTATACATAATCTAGCTCCCACTCCGGACACCTCTGCTTTTAATTTTAGCCAATTTAACAGTTGTGATGTTAAGAGAGCCATAATGTCCATCCATTCAAATTCGATTGGTAGTGACTGCATTAGTCGGAAAATGGTCATCCCTCTCATTGATCTTCTTTTACCTATAATCACGTCTATCCTGAATAATTCACTGAATTCTGCTTTTTTCCCTTCAGCTTGGAAAGACGCATTTGTAGTTCCTCTTCCGAAAAAGTCAAATCCCTCTAGTTTTTCTGATTATAGACCTATCTCTATTTTGCCTTTCTTTTCCAAAATTCTAGAACGTCTTGTGCACAATCAATTAAACACCTATCTTTTAAAACACAATGTTTTAAATCCCTTGCAATCCGGTTTCCATCCTGGCCATAGTACAACTACTGCACTTTTACAAATCACTGATGATATTCGGTATGCTATGGAGAAACAAAAGCTTACCATTCTCACGTTGCTTGATTTTAGTAACGCATTTAATACTGTAGATTTTGATATCTTGTTAAGCATCCTACGCTCTCTCAACATATCTCCAACTGTAGTTGACTGGTTTCGAAGTTACTTGTTTGGTCGTCGACAGCGAATTCAGGTGCGAGAGGTTTTTTCCATCTGGACTACCTGGTGTACCACAAGGTGGCGTGTTGTCTCCTCTCCTTTTTGCAATTTTCATTAACTCTATAAGTCATAATTTGTCCTCTTCCTACCACTTGTATGCTGATGATCTCCAAATCTATACTCAGTCCTCTCTTGAAGATCTATCTAAAGCAGTTGACACTATTAACGCTGATCTGACTTGTATTTCGAATTGGAGTAAATGTTATGGTTTAATGATTAATCCTAAGAAAACTCAGGTCATTGTCATCGGTAGTTCTAGATTAATTGGTAAAATTGACTGGTCTTCCCTACCTACTATTATACTAGACTGCACTATAATCCCTTACAGTAACAAGGTTAAAAACCTGGGGTTGTATCTTGACTCCTGTATGTCTTGGACCTCACAGGTTAATGAGGTCAGTAGAAAAATGTTTGCTGCGTTAAGCTCTTTACGTAGATTACGTAATTTCCTTCCCACAGCAACTAAAGTTACGCTCGCCCAGTCTCTACTTCTGCCTATCCTTGACTATGCTGATATTTGCTATCATGACATTACCGAGGAGCAGCTTAATAAGCTTGAGCGCATTCAGAATTTATGCATTAGATTTATATTTGGGCTTCGCAAATATGATCATATCTCAGAATTTCGCAAACAGCTCAAATGGCTCCCGATCCGTTTTCGCAGGAATACTCACATTCTCTCCGCGTTGTATAGTGTGCTGTTTAATCTTTCCACTCCTCTTTATTCAAAAAACCGTTTCCAGTATCTTTCTCTTACCCATAATCGATTTTGTATTGTGTTCCTTCGATCCTCCGTCAATTTTTCTCTCTCTCTACACCTTTGCAGTCTTCTTCCTTTTTCAAGAAATCCTTCACCGTAACCGCTGTGCGATTGTGGAACTCCTTACCTCTCCATATTCGTCGTGCTAAATCTCTTCACTCTTTCAAAAGTCTTGTTAAATCGTATTATTTAGAACGCTATTAGATAAATTACTTTACCTTTCTCGTACTCTTTTCATTTAATCTATTATATGATATTTTATATATAACTTTCACTTATCTTTATTTGTATGTATTATTATATTTTTTATTATTATTTTGTATGCCCCCCCTCTATTTTAAAATTTTTTTGTATCATTCCTCTATGCAAAGGTTGTCTGGAAGAAATCACTTTCAGAGTGATAAGACCGCTTATTGTACATACTTTAATAAGTTTTAACTGAACTTGATGTTTCTGTATTGTGGTGTACAAAAAAGAATGAATAAATAAATAAATGTAGATATATGGAAGATAAGCCAAATGGATGTAAAGGAGGCGGGGAAAGGTGTGTAAGGATTTTGCCAATTGAAAAATCCGTAGTCACTGCGTACTCCCCGGGGCACAGGGGCAGGCGTGAGTGTTTATGTTTGTGTACGTGCGCGTGAGGCACCTGCTGGGGTAGTAGCGCGCGCAGGTGATGAGGAGGTCGAGCACGGTGGCGGCGAGCGCGCTCTCGTCCAGCACGGGCGCGCCGCGCGCCACCAGCGTCCACTTGAGCTGCGGCACGCTGCTTAGTGCCCGCCAGCCCTCCATGCTGTTCGCCCAGCACTTCGTCTTGTTGTTGATCTCGCCCGACTTGTACAGCTCCTTCAGCTGCGACCACATGATTACTTACTTATTGAGTTTTTCTGCATAAGAAATTCTCAGTAGGACTATGACAGTACGGAATAGAGACTAATAGTTAAAAAGGGTTGAGAACCATATCGCAAAGGCAAGGGCTCTTATTTGCAAACTGATAAGCTTCAGGTCGAGCAATAACAAGCTAAAAATTGTTCGCACTGTCAATGTCGCGTTTGCTTGGACTAATGTCAGTTTGTCCCAGCCGAATATAACGCAAAAACTGACGGAGTAGCAATATACCGAGAGGTCGATACGATTCAAATGCTGGAGTAAGGAGCAGATCTTTTTGTAGATTAAATGCGATAAAGAAAGGGTGTGATGAATTCCATGATGTAACTGTGCCGAGCCACATTCTCGTATTATTCTTTGTTTAAAGTTGGCTACTGGTGTCTATGACTTCAGTAGTCGCTCAATTTATCAGGTGGGCTGTCGTTCACCAACCCAGTTTTATCGAAAAAAAAAAACACAAAGCGTCTAAAGCGTCTAAAGCGTCTAAGATACGACCAACGTTTCAGTAGAATGGTTGTGGCAGCACGGGCGGTACCTCTTGCAGACTGACGGGCCCCTTGCGGTGCAGCTTGTCGGGCAGCTCCAGGTTGTAGTACCACTCGCGCAACGCGGGCGCGGGCGCGTCTCCGGGCCGCGCAGCCTCCAGCACGTTGCCCTGCGCCGGCACCGTGGCGCGCGCCGTGTGCAGGTGCGCCAGCGTCATCAGCTCAACCAGGATCCTGCACACCGCCACGCATACGCTATACATCCTGTCCACTGCGTCACTCACACAGATCATCATTGTCCCACTCATTCCAGTCCTACACTTCACTTCTCGATAACTTTTAACTTCCATTGGTTGTCGGGTTCTTTGGACTATATGAACGGCCCATTACCAATTCAACTTACTAAACCGTTGCGCTATGTCGGTCACTCTGATTCTATTGCTATCAGAATTTTACTATATAATATTTTCTATAAAGCAAGTAACCAGCCGTGTGGTAGCGGCGTAAAAGTATCCATTAATTCAATTTGCCCCGTAAGTGTCGTAATTAACGACTAATAGAAACTCTAAAAAATGTCATGGCCTCCGTTAGATAGTGGTTTAACCACCTCGTTTTCGCTAGACATAAAATAACCAGACCGTAGCAAGGAGCAACATCAAAATGCGAGGCTTTGGAACTGCGATCGCCAGTCCACCTGACAAACATAGCAATTAAGGCAAATCTTCCTGAACAGAAGAGGTTCACGTTTAGCAGTGAACTTTAGCAAGCTCCTCAAAAACTATGATTAAAATGTATAATTAACATAAATGACAAATATAACAAAATAAGAAATAAAATGTTAACCAATATTATTGCACGTTACGCGTTAGGTACACAATGTTCACCCAGTGTCTTAACATAGATTGGTTCATGTGTTACGGGCTTTACTTTATACTGGCAACTCATAACCATTAAAATTTTTGTCTCGATTTGAAAGCAGTAACCTATCAACGAGAATTAATAACAATCTATGGAGCAGTCAATCAAAGCAAATCCTGACTTAAGCCTCATTTTTACCGCCGAAAAATAAGGCGTTTTGTTTCTCACATTGTGTAAAGGTTTTTATTCTCAATATATGTAAAATATAAAACGTTTAAACAGTGATTAATCCTTGGCAATGAATCCAAGAATCAAAAATGTGCATTTCTTTAGTTTATCACCGGTACGGAAACTTGGCCACTCGTGAATTTGCTGAATATTTGCACAGAGACGCTTTTTAACAGTAAATTAAGGATAGATGGATTCAATAAGTGTCTGTTATGGTTTTAGAACGTTGAAATCTAATGTTTACTTTACCAAAATTTTTCTTTTCAAGATAACATGTTTTCACTAAAATTAACAACATCTTTCCATAGTCACTTTATTGTCTCTCAGTTTTAACATCAGGTGTTCCCTCCTCTAGCCCTGATAACCGCCTGGCTTCGATCTGACATGCTTTAAATGATGTTTCTGACATCAGTATGCTGTCCCAAGCGCTGCATTTCGGAGCTCATTTAGAGTTCATGACGGTTTGGACACATGCTCAATTGGATTTAAGTCTGAGCTACGAGCTGGCCACTGAAATTTTTGTGTTCCAACCTCTTCCAGATATTCCTCTACATAATGTGCGACGTTTGGGCGTGCATTATCGTGCATGAGGAGGAATTGGTCGTGTCCAATGAACCCCGAATAAGGCATTGCGTGCTCCTGAAGAACTTCCTCGATGTATGTATCGACGATGTATGTACGTGCGTCGGAACTTACACCTCCCCATACCATTATTGAGCCTCCATGGAAACTCACAGTTTGCGTGCTGGTAATGGGTAGAAACCTCTCTCGTCTTTTTCTCAACACTCGTTCTCGACCATCTGGAGCACGTAAAGCTATTCGACACTCATCTGTGAACAACACTGGTTTGCTCGTGGGTCCAATTGACATGTTCTCTTGCGAACTGAAGTGGGGATACTCGGTGCTGTCTCTGTTTAAATTCACTTCCTCCATTCGTCTTCTCATCGTATGCTCACTGACATTAACGCCTCTTGCGATTTGGAGCCGCTGGCGTATCTCAACAGCGGTCAGGTAGTGGTTTCTCAAAATCTTCAGAACAATAAAAGGATCATCCCGGGTCCCATGGATGTGCACCTTACGCCCCCACAGCCTGGCCTGCGGGTATTATGTTAAGCACAATAGCAACTTCACGCTGTGTCAGCCCTTGGTCAATTAATGCTACTGCTTGTGCAACTTGTGCTGGTGTTAATGGCATTTTTTTTTGTTTGAAAGCACCTTTATTCATTGAATTAAGACACAGGATCACAATAATTGAATAACCTTACAGTAAACTTTTCACAACACACAAATTTAAAGTGTGAACTTAGTCGCTCAAATGACCCGATTCAACTAAAAATTAAACCCTCTTGAACTTGAGGGTAAACATTTTTTGACATACCTGCATAACAAACATTCATCAGAAACAGTTAAAACTTTTGCTATAACAAGATAAGCTTTTGGCCTAGATTCCGTGCCGCTGAGAAAAAACTTTACACGTCAGTAAAGGTAATGTATGTTAACAGTTCTTTTTAAATTAAAGATAGTTCCACAAAATTATATTTACCTTACACCATTCCATTCTAATATTTCACTAACATTCTTCTTATGTAATATTAACTTTGCTAGGAACTGAACTAGTCTATCTCTCTCCATCCTGTCGCACGTCTGTAAAATTCGAAAATTTTAAATAAAATTTAAATATTTGTTTTGCCTAAAAACTTGTTTTGCCATATTAGTTTAGTTTTTTAGTTTAGTTTACGACGGGCTGTTTTCCGCAACTCCACGTCTAAGCGCGTATTTTGCGTGTGGGCAGGAATAATATGGTTATTCGAGCCATGATATCTCCCCGAAGAAGCTCAGCAGCCCCTTGATGTTGCAAACAACTTCGGAGAGCAATCCCGGCGTGCCGAGATGTTTAGCCCTGTATGAAGCGACTTCTGGACATGTCAGCAACACGTGAGCCGTCGTTTCTTCCTCTCCCATGCATGCCCTGCACAGGGGGTATCAGTAACACCTATGGTGAACAAATGTTTGTTAAAAGAGCCATGTCCTGTGATAGCACTTGTTACTACCCTGATCTGTGGCTTATTCAGTCTCATTAGAACCTTGGTTAGATAACTGTTTATTTCAGATAGGGCCTCCCTAGCTTGTCTATAGTCTACTAAATTTTTCCAAAGCTGAGCGTGTAAATTATTGAAGTATCTACGTACCAGTGAACATACGTAGCCAAAGGGGATTGGTATTATTGGTTCCAGCCCTATAGTTGCCAGGGCCGATCCCCTTCTGGCCAGTTCATCTGCTGCATCGTTGCCGCTAGATCCACTGTGTCCCTTGATCCATTGCAGAGTCACATTGTTGTGCTTACATACCTCATTCAATCGTTGATGGTACTCGTAAATCAGTCCCGAGTTTGTCACATTGCAACTCAGAGCTTGTAGTACCGCCATACTGTCGGTCAGTATTCTGATGGAGAAGTCTTTCACCTTCCTAGCATCTATTGCTATGGCCGCTTGGATGATACCCATGCATTCAGCCTAGAAGACTGTGTTGTGGGTACCCAGCGGTATGCATATGTGGATATTAAGGTCTTCAGAGAAAGCCCCAGACCCCACACCTTCATTTGTCTTAGAGCCATCCGTGAAAACTTTGAGCTCTCTTTGGACCAAATCCTTCCAGATGGTCAGTTTCCTTCAATTGTATCCTGTACTTCTTATCGAATACAAATTGTTTTGGGATCCTATCATACTTGGCTTGTAAGATAGGAATTTTTGAGTAAATTCTATCGATTATATCTGTATGGGGGACTGTACTCTTACTTAAAAGATTTAGGGTCTTGAGTCTAATGGCAGCTAAAGTTGCTTCTTGTTGTATATGTAGATGAAGCGGTGTTAGCTCCAGCATAGCCTCCAAAGCTGCTGTTGGTGTAGTCCTTATGCAGCCCGTGGCAGCCATACAAGCTAATCTCTGGTAATGCTGAAGCTTTTGTATAGTGGTGGCTTCATTGGTTTTGGTCCACCATACCAGAGGCCGTATGTGATCATGGGCCGAATTACAGTTTTGTACAGCCACAGTATAATTTTTGGCGTTAAACCCCATCGTTTGCCAATCATGTTTCTGCATTGCCAGAAAGTTAAACTAGCTTTGCTGATTTTGTTTTCTATATGTTTGTTCTAGTTAAGTTTACTGTCCAAGGTAAGACCTAGGTATTTTACCTCGGAAGAAAGCTGAAAAGACTTGGAAAATGATAGTTATTCAGCATTCGTTTTTGTGTGAACATTACTATAACCGTTTTATTTGGATTAACGGTTAGGTCATATTCCCTGCACCATCTCTCCACAATACGGAGAGCCGCTTGGGTCAGGTCGCACACAATGCTTGCTGTCTTACCAGATACCAGTATTGTCAGATCATCTGCATAACCGACTGTATAGAAATGGTTAGCGTTTAATTTGCTGATGAGTTCATTAATGACCATATTCCACAGGAGAGGTGAAAGAACCCCAACCTGCGGGCATCCTTTCATGATCTGAATTGTCTGAGATTCACCAGCAATCTTTATTTTTCGTGTACTGAGCATGTTTACTATCCAGTCAATCAGTGCCGGTTCAACATTATGTCTACTTAGGGCACCTCATATGCTGGAGAAATTTGTTTCGTCAAAAGCACCTTCTAAGTCTATGAAGGAGCCTAGACATATTGCTTTATTTTGGATGGCCTCTTCAATCTTTGTTATTACCTGGTGAAGTGCCGATTCTGTTGATTTACCTAAGCTATAGGCGTGTTGTTTTTCGTGTAGCGGTAAGTTAATTAGCGCCGACCCTCTCAACTCCCGTTCACACATCCTCTCCATCGTCTTTAGGAGAAAGGATGTGAGGCTAATGGGTCTGTAGGATTTAGGGTCTGTATAGTCGTTCTTACCTGGTTTGGGTATGAACGTGACTTTCACTTCCCTCCATCCCCTAGGAACATATTTAAGAGCCAGACATGCTCTCACTATGGCAACAAGTCTAATTAGGACTTTACCCCCCCCCCCGCTGTCGAAGTGCCGGGAATAAGCCGTCAGGTTCTGCTGCCTTATAGGGTTGGAAACTATGAATGGCCCAATGGATTTTGGGAATTAGCACAAAGAGTGGTGACGATAGACGTCACCACTCTTTGTGCTAATTCCCAGTCTTCTTTTGTTGGTGTCAGTGCATCTTCATGCCGGTTCACCCTTTCAACTACACAGCAACCTGGGAAGTGAGTATCAATTAGGATGCGTTGGGTTTCATCCGGCGATGTTGAGTAGCTTCCGTCGGGTTTCTTTAAAGAGATAGATCCCGGCGTGTTCTGTTTAGCTAGGATTTTCCTTATCCGATTTGCTTGTTCATAGGTTTCTATGCTACCACAGAATTTGCGCCACCCTGTTGAGCGTCGATACCTGATACATTTTTTGTATTCAGACTTAGCTTTCTTATATAGAAGCCAGTCTTCATCCTTTGAGGTATTCATTGCCCTATTTAGAGCTTTTCTTACCTTCTTTCGTTTCCTGTCTAGTTCTTTACCCCACCACTGTTGCTTTTGCTCAGCATGTTTTGGTGGAGTGATTACTGGACATGATTCATGGTAGCTATCGATCATGGCTTTAGTGACAGCTGGTACCTGTTATTCTAGGAGCGATTGATCTGCTATGGTAATAGTTCCCCCAACACCCGCGAGCGAAGACTTCAGCCTATTGAGGTATTTTGTTTTATCCGTCTTGCGGGGATTTCTCCATGGTGGTATAGCAGGGATATCGAACTGTAGTACGCAGCAGATCCATCTGTGGTCTGAGCATGAGAGGGATGTGGGGGCTGCCTAGTCTCCCTGAAAAGGGCTAGGTGGTGGTAAAGGCCAAGATGACGGGACAAGTGAAAATCAACTCGGGCAGTGGGGATGGGCCTTTTCAGCCCTATCTGCCAGCTGGATCGAGCTCCCGATGTCGCGCTGTGAGCCAACTCTGCGTCCCTATATTCCCCCCGGTAATCCTAACGCCTGAAATTCTTTTAATAAAGTAGGGCGTTCCCAGAGATGCGGGCTCCATGGAGGGTGGGAAGCCGGGGGGACGAATTATTACCCATTTTAAAAACTATGGACAACACAAGGCCCATTAGTAAGAGAGGGAGAAGTGTCTGAGGTGTTTACCTTAGACACTGATAAACCAGAAGGAACCGCCGTTAAACCGGCCATTCCACTGACTGTACCACCCAGCGTAGGTGGCCCCACCAAGGGGGCAATTTCCGCGCTGCATGTCTCTAAATCCAGTTCCAAATCCAATGAGCTGGACGAGAAAAATGAGCAAGGGGCCGCGAGTAGCAAAACTCCTGCGGAGCCCTAAAGGACCGAAGACCTTTTCTCTGCTGCATGGCAGTGGTGAGCCGTAAGGGGAAGCGCAAGGCACCCAAAACGGTGACTTGCCGACCCGACGGACCATCAGATGGGTCTATCCCAGCAGCCAGTAGTGCAAAGGTCAAAAAGAAGAATAAGAAGCAGCGAGAAAAAGGCCGCAGAGACAGAGCCGCGCTGGCTGCTTCCAAGAGCAAGACTCAGCGAGCTGGGCAAGCTACTTCTACTGCGGTACTTGGGGCTGGAACCAGTAGTCTTGCTGAAACTGGGAAGGATGAAAATCCAGCCCGAGCATTAGGCACGGCCGCCGGAACCAGCTCTAAGAAATCCGCCAGGAACCAGAGAGCAGCCAAGCGCCCTAGAAAGAAGGAAAGAGCAGCCAAAAGAATGCTGGAGGAGTCCACCTCACCGAAAGGAGAGCACAAAAAAGTGCGACTTGAACAGCAACCAAAGGCTGCAAGAACAAGCTACGCGTCTGCTGCTAAAGCAGATTTGGGTGTGGCCTTAACGTGTGCGCGTTCAGGTCAATAACAAAGGAGGTAGCTGATGACATTCTCGTGGCTATACAGAGGAAGATGATCAGCGAGGCCTGGAGTAATCAGGAGATTGATACGTCGGGCCCGGTTTTTAGAGGCAAACCCGTTTACACGGAGGGTGTCCTAAAGCTGGGGTGCGATGACCAGAAATCTCTGGACTGGCTGAAGGGGAATATTAATACCATCGACCTCAAATCCAACACCTCGCTGACTATTAAGAAACAGTCAGAGATACCACAAAGAATCAAATGTGGTATCCTTATCCCTGATGCCCAAGGTGCTTGAATGGACTCACGCGACATTGGTCGTGTGCTTGCGTACCAGAACCGCTGGGTAAACATCAAGGACTGGCTACTACTCAAAGCGGACAAACAGACGGACGGGTGGTTCCTCGTTGTTTCAGTGCCGGAAGATCATATCCCGACCCTGATGAAAGCCGGGCGCCGTCTCGCATGTGTATGTGGGGCGGTATACGTTAAATTCCAGGGTCGTGGAGGAAAATTCGTTGATTCCCCACCTAGCAAAGAGGCAGAAAAGAACCCGGAAGTCATGGATACCGTGGCCACGGTTGCCTGATGTCAAGTCCAGTGAAAAAACGGCCTGCACAACCGAGCCGAAGCCCCCAGTGGAAACTGAGCTCAGGGGCAGCTCACTGAGTGACGAAGAGGACTGCATTTTGCTGTCCAATTCCGACTCGATGGCTGACGATGACACCTGAGATCTGCTGGCAGGCTTATTTTTGGGCGAGGACGGGGATGACGCGATCGATGATGGCGTGCCCTTCGTCCAAAACTAAGCCTATTGCAGGCCAACCTCCACCACAGTGAGACAGCGTCGGCTCAATTACGCAAGTGGTTGGGGGCACAAAGGACGGCCATAGCCCTAATCCAAGAGTCATGGGTTGGGGCTGGTAAAATTAAAGGCCTAAACAACCTAAGAGGTAATTTATTTTCTACAACTCTGAGCATGACAAGCCTAGAGCGTGAATTTATACTACTAAAGATATCTGTGCAAAACCATTAACAGATTTCTGTTCCAGAGACATGTATGCCGTAGCATTACAAAACACACAGAAAGAAAAGTTAGTCGTCGCCTCGGTCTACATGCCTGAGGAAGACACCCCTCCCCCTCACGACCTCGTCAGGCTGGTGAATTTCTGTGATAGGGCCGGACTAGAGGTTGTGATCGGGACGGACTCCAATGCGCATCATCCTCTTTGGGGAATGGAAAAACCTAATGAACGAGGTATGGTTTTAGTTGAATATTTATTTAGCACTAACCTAACCATTTTAGACACTGGTTCTGAACCAACCTTCATAAATAAACGCTGTCGCACAATATTCGACCTCACACTTGCAACAGAAGGAGCAGTTAAACTAATAACGGTATGGCATGTGTCGAAATACGCCTCATGCTCAGACCACAGATGGATCTGTTGCGCACTACACGTCGATATCCCCGCTATACCACCATGGAGAAATCCCCGCAAGACGGATAAAACAAAATACCTCAATAGGCTGAAGTCTTCGCTCGCGGGTGTTGGGGGAACTATTACCATAGCAGATCAATCGCTCCTAGAATAACAGGTACCAGCTGTCACTAAAGCCATGATCGATAGCTACCATGAATCATGTCCAGTGATCACTCCACCAAAACATGCTGAGCAAAAGCAACAGTGGTGGGGTAAAGAACTAGACAGGAAACGAAAGAAGGTAAGAAAAGCCCTAAATAGGGCAATGAATACCTCAAAGGATGAAGACTGGCTTCTATATAAGACAGCTAAGTCTGAATACAAAAAATGTATCAGGTATCGACGCTCAACAGTACTACAAGCTCTGAGTTGCATTGTGACAAACTCGGGACTGATATACGAGTGCCATCAACGATTAAATGAGGTATGTAAGCACAACAATGTGACTCTGCAATGGATCAAGGGACACAGTGGATCTAGAGGCAACGATGCAGCGGATGAACTGGCCAGAAGGGGATCGGCCCTGGCAACTATAGGGCCGGAACCAATAATACCAATCCCCTTTGGCTACGTTCGTTCACTGGTACGTAGATACTTCAGTAATTTACACGCTCAGCTTTGGAAAAAGTTAGTAGACTGTAGACAAGCTAGGGAGGCCCTACCTAAAATAAACAGTCGTCAAACCAAGGTTCTAATGAGACTGAATAAGCCACAGATCAGGATAGTAACAAGTTCTATCACAGGATATGGCTCTTTTAACAAACATTTGTTCACCATAGGTGTTACTGATAGCCGCCTGTGCAGGGCATGCATGGGAGAGGAAAAAACGGCGGCTCACGTGTTGCTGACACGTCCAGAAGTCGCTTCATACAGGGCTAAACATCTCGGCACGCCGGGATTGCTCTCCGAAGTTGCTTGCAACATCAAGGGACTGCTGAGCTTCTTCGGGGAGATATCATGGCTCGAATAACCATATTATTCCTGCCCACACGCAAAATACGCGCTTAGACGTAGAGTTGCGGAAAACAGCCCGTCGTAAACTAAACTAAACTATGGACTGCCCGTGAAATTGTGCAATTGGATCATCAGCTTTCTTGCAGATCCAAGCATCAAGGTTGTAGTGGACGGGTGCATGCTCCGATTACAAGCTTGTTAATGCTGGTATTCTACAAGGCTGCGTGCTATCACCGAAGCTGTTTCTTCTGAATAGCAATGATATGTTGCAAACCCGTAACATTTATTGCTATGCGGACGACAGCACTGGTGATGCTCTACACAACGGCCGTGTTAATATTTCTTGGGAAAACGTCGCCACGTACCGGAACAAACTTGAGTCAGAAGTCGAATCTTTGCTGAACAAAATCTTGGATAGGGGGCTAAATCTAGTCCAGTTCAATCCCCAGAAGATACAAGATTGCGCGATTGCCGCTAAAAAGAACCCCTTCATCGCATCTTCTCAGTTTCATGGAACTCCCCTTGTTGCTGCAGCCAATATCGGAATCCTCGGCGTCAACATATCGAACGATGTGCATTTTCGTGGTCAGTTGTAAGAGAACGCCAAATTGGCCTCTAAAGCTAAACCTTGGCGTGCTCAGCAGAGCGGGACAGTATTTCATGCCGGCACACCGCCTGCAACTTTACAAGGCGCAGGTTCGGCCGCACATAGAATACTGTTCCTATTTCTGCCAGTGCCAGCTCCTTCCACTTAACCGCATCCAGTGCAGAGCGGCTAGAATCATCGACGACCAAATTCTTTTTGATCGGCTTAATTCACTGGCGCTGAGAAAGGGTTGTTCCATCCCTTTGCACCTTCTATCGCAAATACCTTGGGGAATGCTATAAGTAATTGTTCGGATTAATCCCAGCTGCAAAATCCGACGAGCGCACGTCGCGAGAAAATTCGCGATACCACCCACACAATCTGGATACTTAGCGGTCCACCATTGTACGTTTTACTAGGAGTTTTTTTCCTCGAACGACCCCTCTGCGGAATCCTTTACCACCGGCGATTTTTCCGGAACGATACGACTTAGGGACCTACAAGAAAAGAACTTACTCCTTTCTAAAAGGCCAACAACGCACCAGCAATCCTCCGGATGTTCCAGTTGTTCATGGGCAGCGATAGTCACCATCAGGTGAGCCGTATGCTCGTTTGCCTCCTATTCTGTAAAAAAAATTGTTTTTAGCAGTACAGCTATCTCGCTTACTCCAGAGGTAATATCCAGACCGGCGACGCGACGGGGGACAGCAAAAATGTGATACATCTAGTATTGAATTCGCCAATCAGCCGGGCATGCGTTTTTTTATAGGATAGGGTGACAAACGATCACACAGTCCAACTGATGTAAGTGGTTGCTGCGGCCCATAGACATCGACATCTATCCTCGATTACAAATCAAAATGAAGATGCGTTGTCACCCGTGAAGACTAAGACGGATTGCCTCGTTTCCAGTAAAAAGGGTCTCCGGTTCTCTGCACTCACCATACGAAACACAGCAGCATTAAGCTACTATTTCACGCTGGTATTCTGTGAGAGCGTGGTCCTTCCCCGGTCGAGCCGACCCATTCGTGCTACAACTATACTACTAATATAACTGCAGCATGGCTCTACCACGTATTAACGCGTGGCGTCACATAGTGAATAAACATAAATATGGCTAATTATCCGTACGATGGAAAAGTTCACGCCTAGCATTATACTTTTATGATCTAATGGAAGAAGAAATAATAGCTCAGAAATGACGTTAAGTTATATAAAAAAGATACTTACCCTATCTAACATTTGAACAATATATTTAGTATCGGCGAATGGACCAATATCTTCATAATATCTTCCGTACACAATAGTCATAGCCTGAAGACACATGCATTTCATTTCGACCTTCGGTGTTGATAGAAAACGGTGGTAGAGGTCATTGAAAAATTCATAACTGCAAAAATAATTATTATTTATTATTTTAACAGGAATCGTTTAGATTCTACACTGCATAAAGTTATGTAAATATATATATATATACATATGATAGCAAAGTAATTGCATTTATTTCCTTATGTTGACCAGTAACCACAATTATGTCCCATGGATATAAGATATGCCATAATCGCCATAATGAAATGAAATGGAATCGCTCAATGAAATAAAATGATGTGTCTACCTAGTTTCAAACTTGGTAAGACACATCATTTTATTTCATTGCGTGGATACGGGTGAAATAATTCTTACCAACTTTAATATAATGGATTTTCGCAAAGTAACGCCTGTTTCTATTAATTATGCCATAATATGTCATACATAAAGTACCCAGATTATGGATTGGAAAATTATGTCATGTAAATATTTTTGATTTCTCAGACATGCAAGTTTTAAAGTGATGTTTTCCTTCACTGCCAGCAGGTATATATAGCAGAATAATAATTGTGATTAACAATGTCAGTGGTACTCGATGCGAATTTCCACTGCTCGCGTCAAAAAGTGAAAACTTCTAAAATTACTTTTTTTTAATTTTATTCAAAAGCATAAAAATTTGTGAACTATAAAAATCGTACAAAGTTATTTAATTATTAGTATTTATACCCACACTATCGATAGTTTTTTGTTAACTATCAATTAACATTAAAAATCAAATCTTTTAAAGTTTAAACGTGCAAAGAAACACTTTTATATAAGAGAATTACTTACGACTTGCGTATAGGACTGTCATCGTTATCTCTTTGCTCGAGCAATATCCTGAGGTAATAGTCACCGATTTTGACTTCGTTCTGTAAGCACTGGTAGTGTACTTCCAACTCCGCGTGGTTCCATGATGTTAGCGTGTTGCCAGCAACCTCACGGTCCGATGTAAATGCACGAAGTTCGTTCTCTAAGGCGTTGCGGAGTTCTTCACGAGTCTGTTTGTGTTTGGAAATTATAAATTTTACGTACGGGAGTAAAAGAGTAGTTATAATTCAATTTAGAAGAGAATTGTGGCCTACTGTTAAGCTTATCTAAAATTTAAACTAAATAGAAGTTTTAATAAAATTTATATATTTATTAAAAATATCGTGGTGGCATCGTAAGAAAACCCTAATATATTATTAGCCTCAAATAAAATACCCCAAACCAGACGGGAGTGATTTTATAAATGCGAAATAAATGTAATGCTCTACTGGTTTAAATGATAGATAAAATTGAATGCGATGATGAAGAAAAAATCAATAACGACCAAGGAAACAAATCTTTTTGAATGTCAGGGCGTAATTCTAATTTTAGAGATGATAGACATTAGTCAAATTATTAAAATAATTTCGAATTATGACCAAGAACGATAAAATGTATATCTTGATACTTAAATAAAGTAGTGGATAAATAAATTAAAATTCCCAAACGTACGAGGGCGGCACTGAAAATTTCGGGAATCAAGGAAGTGACACAACATTACTATTTAAAAATGTATTTATTGCTTTTCAAAGTATTCTCCGCGAAATTTGACACATTTTTCCATACGATGGAACCAATCATTGAAGCAACCATTCCATTTGGAAGTTGGGGTCTCCAAAATGGCCGTTTTGTAGGCGTCCACAGCTTCTTCAGGTGATGAAAATCTCTGTCCACGCAATTTATTATTTATTTTAGGGAAAGTATAGAAATCATTAGGGCTTAGGTCGGGGCTGTATGACGGATGGTCTAATAATTCTATGTTTCTTGCTTTTAAAAACTCTTTTGTTCTGTGTGCGGTGTGAGAACTCGCATTGTCGTGATGGAGGATGATGTGGCGGTTGCAGTTCTCTTTACGGAGTTTAGAAACGACCTGTGGCAAACAAATGCCAGCATACCATTCTGCATTAACCGTTCTTTGTCTCTCAAGAGGAATAGTCGTAACATGGCCGGTTTTGGAGACAAACGTGGCCACCATTTTTTTTTTGCAACACTCCGTGAACGAACAATTTTTGTTGGCTTTAACTCATTTTCGAACACCGAAACTTTTGACTGGTTTTTTGTTTCGGGTTTGTACGCGTATATCCAGGATTCGTCACCTGATACGATGTTGTATACAGCATTTGAGGATCCTGCGTGGAATCTTTCGAGAGTTCTGACGCACCAAGTAACGCGAGCCGCTTTTTGCTCTTCACAGAGCGAATGCGGTATCCATCGGGAAAACAACTTTTTTTACATCTAATTGTTCATGCAAGATTATTTGTATTTGACTCATGCCAATGTCTAAAGTTACCTGAATTTCGCGGTATGTCACATGTCGATCTTCCTCAATCAGCTTACGCACAGCATTAACGTTTTCTTGGGAGCAAACCAGCGATAAATTGTGGTTTTGGATGGGGCTTCATCACCAAATGCAGAAATCATCCGGTCAACACACTGTTTTTGTGTTAAACCACTTCGAAAGTCATAATAAATCATCGCTCTTGAATTTTCTCGAGTCAATTCCACTTTCTCAACGACTAAACAAGTTTGACAAAACCTTGTGACAAGACCGAGAATATTTTTTTTAAATAAATAAATGGTATTCGATTTTTAAAACCAAGGAGTTTTTAATTAAAAAGATTTTAATATGACAGGAACAGTGGAAATATTCCATTCCCGATACTTTTAGTGCAGCCGTTGTAATAGCACGAACTGGTGATTATGCACCGCATAGCACAGTACTAATGCATTAATTTAATTTTTTAAGGTTTTTGGATTGTGAAGTAGGATAGATTAAAAATAATAAAGCAAACTCACGGTGTGGTTCCATATGAGGTTGGGCAGCGCGTGGTCGCGATGGAACTGGTAGTAGAAGAGCGGCCAGTTAGCGGTGGACTTGAGGCGCTCGCGGCGGCGCCGCAGCAGCACGGGCCGCTCGCGCCGCTCCGCGCCCGCGACGCCCCCTGCACCCGCACCCGCGCCCCCCGCCCGCGCCCGTCGCGCCTGCACCCGCCGCACCCGCTACACTGCGCGCCCTCTGAGCCCAGTGCTGAAGCGCGAGCGCCGCGTAGTGCTGCCGCAAGCGAAACATGCACGTGAGGGATGGGAGGCAGAAAAAATAAATGTGCTCGGAAAGCTACATACAACCGATAAACACATATTGACAAGTTTATTTATGTATAATATTTATGATAACATTAGAGAGAAAAGTACACAGGTGACTTAAAAAAAATATTACTATGATTCTTGTATCATATTCTTGCATTGTCATCCGAATTCAAGCTATATTCAAAATTTCAAGTATTCAACTCATCGGGAAGTTAGTTTTTAAGTTAGTAATTCAATTACTAAATTCCACTCTGAACAACAAACAAACAAGAAAATAACTTAATAAAAACGTGCTAATAAACCTGTTATAGTTAAGATTAATGCCTATTTTTTTTATAATGTATTTATAAACCAGCTGCCACAACTGTATTTAATATTTAAAATATTAATATCAATGGTAAAACCTAAGAGAAGAAGGTGAATGATATCGGAAACTTTTTTTCATTTTGTTATAATTTTAACATATTTAAAATATTATGTAAAATCCCTCAGGACAACAACCAAAGCATAAAAATAACGTTCAAATAAAAAGATTTTGTTCCATTCTATCTTATGGCATTAATAAGGACGTGAGAGTAAGATAAATGATTCATACTATGTTTTACTTTTCTTGGACTTGCTGTACGATAAACTGACATTTGGTTACATTGGTTCTAATTAAAACACTCTCAGAAATGAGAGAAGGTCTGTGTCCAGCAATGGGACGTATATAGGCTGTAACCTTAACATTAACAACCCGACCAAATGCGGTAGTACTTTGCTTCAAAGGCTGACAGTTCGCTATTTAACTTGTTTACGTGTCCATTGTTTATAAATTTGTCATTATTTCGTATGATTATTAAAATATTTCTTTGGCTTACTAGAAATAGTGAATGTGTGAATCCCATAATATAATTTAGTACGGGGCGGTAAACTAAAAAGTCCCATTCGTCACGAAAAGAAAAAATCATAATTTATTGCCTTTCTACAGGTAAGTTGTTGTTATATTATGTGTTATATGTGAGCTTATAAGCGAATATAATTAGGAATCAAAATTCCTTGCAGCAATATGTCAATTTTCGCTTAATCGTGTTTATTAGAATAGAAAATTTAGAGATTATTCGGCAATTAATATGAACAATACATAGTTGTTGCTGTAGTACATGTTGTCAAAAGTTCAAAAAGGAAAGTATGCAGACCTTATCGATCAAAAGGTTTAAAATGTTATTTTACTACTAAAGAGTACATGATTAATAACATATATACAAAAGAATACTATAATACACAATAGAATGACTGTCCACCTTATTTTGTAAGAGGATCGGCGTCGCCGGGAGCACACATACAAGCAATTACGTCGTATGATCACTACTACAAACCCGATTCGCTGTGTTGACAGACTGAGTAAATTTACCCATTCTAAACTTTGATTAATGTTCAAGATCATCATTAAAAAAATCGTTTATATTTTAATACACATTTATTTGTAAAAAGTGTGCAATTTGGCATTTTCTAAATAATTTGCATTCGAAATTTGGAAACGATTGTAACGTCAAAACACATCTCGTGTTGACATTTATAGGTCTGAACATGTCAAATGTTAGTGACATTTTAGCGGCTACACGGGCTCCGCATACTCCCCCGTTCTATTACGTATGTATTATAGTATTCTATGATTGATAATAACTCCTGGGAATGATATCATACCTGGTGATCGATATCATGGTGTTTCTAAATGTTTTCATAACAATTGCATAAAATATTATATTGTAAATTGTGCCTTTAAAAAAAATTCCCGCTCGGTTACTTGCTGGTTTTTCCCAGGACAGTGATTTTTTCGGAACCAGTGGTAAAAGTAAAAAATAACTTTCAATAAGTAACACATGTAATTTATATTGAATGAAAATTATTCCATTCTTTTCTTATTGAACAGATATTAAAATTGTATCACCTCAATGTGCTTCTCGACGTGCTTGAGCTGTCGCTCGATCGCGTCCCAGTGCGGGGCGCGCGTGCGCAGCGTGGCCTGCGCCAGCTGCAGGTTGTCGCGCTCGCGCTGCGCCGCCTGCTCCTGCTCCAGCTGCGCGCTCGCCGGCGGCGCCTCCTCGCTCTCCAGGAACGCTAGCAGCCCGGATGGCTGCAACACGTATTCATTAAACTTGTGTTTACAAGGTGTGACACAAACTAAAAGTCAAATATATTTTGCGATATTTAAATTATTTATTTGTTCTTTTATGTATGTTACTATCGTCATCGACCACCTGCTACTGCTGCTAAAACCAACCAAAAACTTTAGAATGCAAAAAAAAATCGAGCAAATTATTATAAAAATCAACTTCTTGACACTAGCAAAAGTACAAGCGGATGAGTCCATTACTAAAAAAAGAGAGTAGGTTGTGCACACAGACCATGATGCGGCGCAGCAGGTCATGCGCGGGCGCGTGGTCGACGAGCCAGAGCGCGACAAGGTGGCGCGCCAGGTGACGCAGGTGCAGGCGCGCGGGCTGCGGCACTTGGGGCGCGTACAGCGCGGCCAGCAGATGGCGCGGCAGCGCGGCCTCGGCCAGCGCCAGCGCCTGCATGCGCGCGCCCACGCGCCCCGCGCCCTCCTCCACCAGCGCGCGCGTCACTAGCCCCGCGCCCTTCACGATCGCCAGTGACGGGTGCTGCGCACACACATTACTTATACAGCTCGTTTGCATAGCATATTTTTATTATTATTATTTTGTATATTAGGTTAAGATTTGCATTTGTGTAGTTAGCACTATTATGTTACTTATGTGGATTGATAGAATATTTAACTAATAATTTCACAAAGAAACATTAATCTCCACACTTTCCTAACAAATTAACCTCCCCGCTATAGAATCTATCAAATATTTCATCTCATTCCTAAGCGGATCTGCTCCGTTGGCAGAAAGTCATGGTTACCCTCATTAATCCCTCATTCCCCTTAAAATTCTCATGCAGTCTCATGCACCCGGCAAATCCCGACCGGTCGCATACGACGGCACACTCCCAGCACTTAAAACTATTAAAACTTATATTTGGAGACTACTTTTGAATAAAGAAGTTTGGCATTATAAAATCTATACAAAATTTTCTATATAAAAGCCAGGTTTTAGTTCATTACAAAAAGACTATTATATTTTGATAAGAAAAACAAAACATACCAAGCGAATGTCGGCAGCGTGAAAATCACAATTATTTCAATATATATTACTCGAAATAATTTACGTAAAAAGATAAATTATATTCACACAAAAACTTTCATTACAATTTTAGAATAAAACACTACTAAAACACTAATAAAACACTAGAAAAATCCAAAGTCAACACAATAACATTCACGCTAAAATGGCGTACGAAATGAACGTAGATTATAAATAAATACCCATAGCATAACTATTTTCTATTGCACTATAGGATAGAAAATTTCATATTGATTCCATAATGCCAAACTTCTTCATAAAAAAGTAGTCTCTAAATATAAGTTTTAATGTAATGATTTCTTAAATTTACGCGAACACTACACATTGAATATACGTCGGGATAATAATAAAAATAAATTAAAGTAATTAAACGCGATAAAATCTGTAAATAATAGTTATTCAATAAGTTTTAATGGTTTGAAGTGCTGTGGGTGTGCGCAGTCAAATTCGACCGCTTGAATTTTGACGGAATAGCGCCGCGGTCGAATTCAACCACTTAGGGTTTTAAGGGTTAAGGTGTAGTGGCAGTGCATATATCCACTACCCCATACCATCCCGCGGGCGTCATAAGAGGCGACAGAGGAAAACAAGTCATGAGAAGGGCTGCAAAATCTTAATAACAACTAAAAATTAAAAACTGCGGTTGCAAATATGGAATACAGGGTTATTTTCAAAGAGTCTAGTAGTCGAGATTTAAGTTCAAATATACAAATAACGATATAGCGTTATAGCATTTTTTGAAAATATGAAGAAATAAGGCTTCTACTTTTATTTGAAATTATCCCAAATTGAATGTGATTTATGGGCAAAACAACTACGCGTACGCGTGCTCAGATTGCAAGTGAAAACATTGCATCACAATGTAATCGAGGCAACTATACTGACAGGTTGTTCTTTAAGAGAGTCGGTATATCTGTTCCTAGGATTCTCCTAACACCATCAAATTACCGTTTCGAATTCAAGAGACTGCAGTTTCCTATCAGTCTACTTCGCCATCACCATAAACAAAGCTCAAGGTCAAACTCTTAAGGTAGCGGGAGTAGACTAGAGAGAAAGCTGCTTCTCCTACGGTCAGTTGTGTGAGGCATGTTCCAGAGTAAGCGCACAGAGTAGCCTGGTGATTCTAGCACCCGAAGGTAAAACAAAACATATTGTTTACAATGAAATACTGCGGTAGGTGTAGTATTTCGATTTAGTTGTAAAAAGATAATACCCCCATGTCACTTTCACCAGATCAAAAGCCGAGCTTCGTGTTCATAAAATATTTATTTTTTATTTAACCTTTAAATCCATACACTATAATAAAGATTGTTATATTTTATAAGTATTCAAACACTAACATAATAATTTATGTTATAACAAAATTAATAACGTAAAAAACCAATTAAAATTCCTATATCTATATATGGAGAGCGCCAATTAAGCACTCAATTATTATATCATTAGGTGATAACCCACTTAGATGTCGATGTTTCATCACACACTTTGCTTAAGCTGTCAAAGTAGCAGTTTACGAAATGTAAAAAAATGGTGCTTTTTTTCGCATGTGCTTGCAGCACTAATTGAGCACTAATTTATTATCATAAGTCACTAGGTGATAATCCACTTCGCTGTCAATTTTTTCAGTACATACTCTGCTAAAGATGTCAAAGAAGCAGTTTACGGTATTTAAAGAAAATCCCAAATCCTTTTTCGTCTTTGAGTATTAAACCAAAGGAGACCTGAAATTTTCTGAAAATAATTCACAGATACTCTCCGGTGTATCAGATTTTTTATTTTTATAAATCATAACGCTAGGGATTCCACTTTTACCTTTTCGATTATTAACAAAGGATCAAAATAATTTAATGTCCTTTTTAAGTCCCTCTTCGATGGAATTAATGTAAGTATTGAAGCAATCAGAACACACTGCCTTAAGTCTGTGTCGAAGCAATGAAAACTGGGAATAATCCGTTTTATTATATTTTGCCACCTTATCCAATATTTTTCTTTTTCTTTAAAACCATGAACGAGGGGTCGAGAAAACCAAATTGGAAAGTTACTACTTTTTGATGAAAGAAATTCATAAAATATATTAACTGACTCCTCAGCAGTTAGCCCTTTTATAAGAGAATACCAATTGGTGTCATAGTTTGGTTCTAAACATTTGAACCTCGAAATAGACGAGTGAGCCATAGATTTATACGTGTGGCTTAGAGATATAACCGTTACATAAGGATGTTAAAAAATACCGCAGATAATAGTACTATGACCGTTTTGACTATAATGACTAAGAAATACATAATCAATAAAGGTGAAATAGGATAGTCATGTGAACTTATTAGTTCGTACCGAGTAATAGGCAACCCCTGACGAACTGCAATAAAAACCTCACCGCCGACCCGTTTACCTGTCAAGACTCGGTCTCGGTCACAACGATATAACATAGGATAGTCATGTGAACTTATTAGTTCGTACCGAGTAATGAGCAACCCCTGACGAACTGCAATAAAAACCTCACCGCCGACCCGTTTACCTGTCAAGACTCGGTCTCGGTCACAACGATATAACATAGGATAGTCATGTGAACTTATTAGTTCGTACCGAGTAATAGGCAACCCCTGACGAACTGCAATAAAAACCTCACCGCCGACCCGTTTACCTGTCAAGACTCGGTCTCGGTCACAACGATATAACATATCTATCTTCTATAAATTCACTGTGTCGAATATTAGGAAGCAACCACGTTTCACTTAATATAATAAAATCATAACTATCTGATAATATATTTGTATATATAATATATTTTATATTGCCCAAATGACCATCCCAGCTCAATAGACGTATTAAAAAGGACAGAATGTTTGAGATTTATTTTAATTAATTTTTTTTCACCATTCGCCTATGTTACTCATTCTGAACCTCTTCTGCAAATTCGACCGTATATTGCAAAATAACCCTGTATACTACAAAAAAACTACAACCCATGCTACAAGCCAGCGATGCGAAATAATTGAAAAAAAAGAAGCCCTCAAGATGGCTTGACATTAATTTTTATCTTGGGACTATTTGGTGTGACATCCTCTTAATCAAAAAAGATATTCAACAAGTAGCGCCGAATGGCTTGGTTCACGTTTAACCGATCATGCGGGGTGATCTGTTCATGATTTTGCCTTAGCATATGGTCTGACACAACTGGTCACTTCGCCTACGCGGATTCCAATTGTGAAGGATCATGCACCTTCCCTGTTGGACTTTCTGCTGACCTCTCACCCGGACGGATATCAGATTTCCGTCAACGCCCCTTTAGACTCCTCGGACCATTGTCTTGTCCGGAGTGTGGTGCTACTCACGCTGAAATCGCAGTTGCATTCTGCAAGCTGCCACCGTGTTTGTCACTATAGGTCAGCCGATTGGGATGGGATGCGGTCTTTCTTTGCATCCTACCCTTGGGGGCGGGTTTGCTTCTCGCCGGACGATCCCATCGTTGTTGCGGATTCTGTCGCTGATGTGGTACTTCAGGGTATGGAACTTTTTATTCCTTCCTCTGTGGTGCCCATTGGAGGCAAATCTCAGCCATGGTTTGGTCGCTCCTGTAAAATAGCACCATGCTATAAGCAGGAGTGCTACCGATCCTGGGCTGACGCATCAGCGTCCCGGGATGTAAACACCAGCACTCTAAAAAAGAAGTATAATTCCGCCTCTAGGTACTTCAAAAGAGTCACTGCCAAGGCAAAGTCAGAGCACAAAAAATAAACATATGTCATGCTGCTGTGATCATCAACAAAAATGAAAAAGTACCTTGATCCTCCTAGGGATACATTCTCCATTGGGCCACATATATCACTGTGTACTATTTCCAATAGCTTAGTACTCCTGTTCCCTTTATTATCGAAGGGCAACCGACTTTGCTTTCCTTCACGGCACACTATACAGTTGGACTTGTTGATGTCGGCCTTCTCAGTTAATTTGACTTCTTTAAAATAAAACTTGAAAATCATAACGAGAATTACTGTAATATCGTTATATTATATTAATTATTAATATGAATGTTTAATGATATTTAATAACCGCAGCGATGGTTTTTAATATTTATTATTTATTTATTTGTTTGATAGTTTTTTTTTGTTTAGAAGTAGTTAGGGTATTATTATAGTTTGTGATTTTGTAGGCTATTTTTTAATAGTTTTTTAAATGGTAGCATACTTTTAGCTTCCTTGATATCTACAGGCAATTTATTGTATAGTTGTGCGCTTTCATAAGTGATGTTATTTTTTCCGTAGTTGGTTATTGGCCGTCGCAGAATTAAGTTATTAGCACTTCTTAACATTTTAGTTTGCACATTTTTCTTTTTTGTAAAGGTTAAGTTAGTATGTATGTTTTTATTTAAAATTTTTCGTATTAGTACGCAGGAAAAGTATTTGTATGATTGTTCTATATTAAGTATTTTAGTATCTTTGTATATTTTGGTTGTA